CATTTTGAATCTATTTAGCAGTTTTTTTCATTCGCTTTTGTAGATGAGTAAAAGATTTTTCAAGTAAAAGTCAAAAAACATGTATTTTTTTCAATGTTTCATCAGATTTTTGCATTTTTTTTAAATTAAAATACATGAGATTATATAAATAATGGTATGTAAAGAAAGCCCCTTTTGTCCTGAAAAAAACAATATATAATTTGTATGGGAACAGTAAATGAGAAAGCGGAAAATTACAGCCAAACACAAACACCACAAAAGTGTAAAAATATTCCTGGTCGCAAATGTACAACATCGCAAAAACAGTCCAGTCCTTAAGGGGTTAACAATTCATTATTTCGTCTTTCTAGTCTTTTTTTTATTTTTCTATTTAACCGTGGTGGTCATTATTTCAGGCCCACAAGTCATGTCAGTGTTTGGTACATCACTACACACAAACTAACCTCACATATACAGTCACACACAAACACTTACACTCAGCCTCTCTCTCACACACACAGCTACTCTCTCACATTTACATAATGCCACTCTATCTCATACATCGAATGCTGTCTTACCTTCAGGGTCAAAATAATTGTTCATTAGTTTAACCCTAATGAGCTTGTTTTTATGTGGTTGTGAGTGGCCCTTTAACTTCCTGCTCCCTCCAAGTTTTCCACTTACGTTTTACTCCTTATAAACTCCCATCTATGTAACCATCCGAGATCTTGGCCTATTTTGGTGACTACCCTACTTGCATTATGGTAGCAGTTGGGTGCAGGGAAAGGTAGTTTTTAATTGCTGACATTTACTGCTGACATCTACCTTAACAAGGTCCTCTTTAGCTCCTGGCTCTTCATCTGCCAGGAGCCAATATTACAAGTGTACTATCCCGTGGGATTCTCAACTAATATTTTTAGAGGATGACAGAGAACCTTCCTACTGCCCACTAACTGCCTTTTTAAAAATTGTATTGTAATGAGTTTTGCATACAAAGGTATACATCCACATTAATGTATGAAAGGAAATAACAGAGAATAAAATAAAATGAGTATCCTAGATGGGTCTAATCCTCCCTTTAGGCCCATTGAGGTGATCAGCCTTTGGGAGTAGGACAGTAATGCTTCCCCAGATACCTCCGCCGCTATACCCCTCAGGCGTATATTGCGGCGTCTATGCCAGGCTTCTATCAAGGCCACCATTCTGTGTAATCTCTGGACCTGTTGAATAAGGCCCTCCAGGTGGGTTCAGTGGTTTGTAGTCAAATGGCTCAAGCCTGTTCCCTCTCCTCCACTCCTCTGAACTTTTGTTGGAGAACTTCTACCTCCTGTTGTGTCTCCTGGAGATCTACTTTACACATGTTATACAGATCTAGGAGCAATTGTTTTATATCCCCCTTCGTAGAGGGAGAAGAGATATCCTCTGAATTAGCCTCCGTGGAGTTCACACACTGTCTGGGAGAGGTAAGGATCTCCTCGTCCTACTGGGATTCCTCTGAGGCTTGTTTCCTAAAGATAGGTTTGTTGTCTAAAAGATGAGACTTTATTTCAGATCAAAGATTGAAGTGCGCCTACACATGACCTGCTATGTAATTAAAGTGTCATCATAGATAGAAGATTGTAAACCTGTCACAGATACACTAGCCTATATTTCAGAGTTGTTGAGACATGTTTTCCATTTTACATTCTCTTTTCAATTCGAGTGATGTTTGCTGTAACAATAATTCACACTTGTGGCTGTGAAGACTATCACCAGGGAGGTAATTTATATTATGGCTGTGGTAACATTGAAGAAGCCATTGAGTAACACATACTGAACATGTACATTTAAATGGTTTTAAATCGGGTAACAAGACAGACTGTTGAAAGATACATTACATTTGGAATTAGGAGTGGTTACAGTTTTAAAGCAGGATCATAATGTTGAAACGAAAGTACAGTCACTAAAAAGGATAATTAAATTATGTATTTGGCAGATATGAAAGTAAAATGTGTTTCATTCTTTTCTATAGTACTGAACGATTTAAAAAAATGTGTGGCTAAAAACAGGTAAGTATTCTGCAGTGTGTTCTACACCCAGAGATAAATTAAAGCAGTTAAATGAACAAAAAGATGATATGTTTGGCAATGTAAAACATTGCTATTTCAGATTGATAACCTCCAGATTTTCGAAAGTCTTTGAATTCCACATTAAAAGTAGAGAATATGAGAACTCTGAGAATGGTCAAAAGATTAGAGAAACTTTGCAAGGCAGATACAGCTTCCCCGCTAAGATGATTGTTTTATGGGCCTCGTAAGCAAGGTGTAGCCGATACCCCTCTATCCACAGTGAGCACAGAGTCCACGTCTGGATTACGCCTTTAGCTTAAGGAGAACCCAAGAAAAAAAATAGCAAAAATAGAGAGAATATGTTTTTATTAATGAACCGTATGGTTCTTTGAGAAGCACTAAGATTGCAGAACATGTGCCCTATGTCTGCAATGCTTCCATGAGAAGAGAAGCATTGGATTGTGCAAAAGTCATTTGAACTGAAGTAGCTGCAGAGTGGAGACTGTCCCAATGGTGGAATCATGGTATTTTTATATCTTTATTATATATATTTTTTGTATATCAAAGGCCTTAGTCCAAACACAATAAGAAACACCCTAACATTAAAAATAGAGATATTTATTTTATACTTTATATTTTACACAAGAAGTGTTTTGGAGTTGATATTTTAATTTTCTCCTTAAATGACCTGCAAGTGTTTCTTGTTATCCTTTGCTCCCAAAAAATTATTTGTGTACTAGACCTGGAATTTTATGATCATTCTGTAATTTCTATTCCCTTTTCATTGACACCAGATTACCCAAAATCTTGTGATGTTCCTCTGTTCACATATCAGGATTACATATTCGCCAACATGCAAAACTCAGGTCAGCCTACTAGTCTAGCATTAGCATTAAGAAAAGTAGAGAAATAGGATAGTCGCATATTGCCGGTCCTTGAGATGGCTAGACTTAATGCAATGTCTATAGATAGGTGAGACATACTAGTGAAACAGTAGAGAACAGTAAAAAAACAAAAAAGTTATAAAATGAGAATGAAAGCCAAGTTTAAAAGGACACTATAAGCACCAGAGCAACTGCAGTTTATTGTAATTGTTATGGTGAGTACAAATTGTCCCTTCAGGGTTTTTGCAGTGAATACTGTATTTTCAGAGAAAATGCAGTGTTCACATTACAGCCTAGTGATACCTCCAGTGGCCACTCCTCAGATGGCTGCTAGAGGTGCTTCCTGGGGCAGTGCTGCACGGTGTGCAGTACTGACATTCAGTGTCTCCACCCTCTGCATGCAGACACTCAACTTTCCTCATAGAAATACATTGATTCAATGCATCTCTATGAGGAGATGCTGATTGGCCAGGGCTGTGTTTGGCTTGTGCTGGCTCTGCCCCTGATCGGCCTTCTTGACATTATTTTCTTATGGGAGAGCCAGCAGCCGCAGATTGAAATAAATGTAAGATTTTACTATGGTTAGGGGGACAAAAGGGCAGGGGGGCTAGATGGTGTTTTTTTAACATTATAGGGTAAAGAATGCATGTTTGTGTTCCTGATTTTATAGTGTTACTTTAAGGATTATAGAGAACACAACAGTCGGACAAGAAGCCCATTAAGAACCAACTATACATCAAGAAAGTACTTCTGGTCAAAGAAAACTGGGACAAGGCCTGGATCGAAGTTAGCTATGAAGTTGATTAATCAGTAGTGGAATCCTATAGGTCACGCCTATAGTGTATAGTTCCCTTTGATACACATCTCTTGGAATTGTCGCACACTCCCGGGTGTATAACAGGGCATCAACTGGCAGCGTCTTACGTCAGCATCATTGCATGGTATGAGGTCATGGATTTATCCTAGGAGCTGTGACATCATATAACCTGTAGACCAGGCTGCCCTCCACTAATCCAATGGTGTAAACAGAACGTGAAATGGATTGTTATGGCAAATAGCCTTATTAGTGTGCCATAGTCATGCCATAAATCTGTAAAACAGCCCTGCCATGTGTCTGTACCACTGATCTACCCTGCACCTATTACAAAGCTTTACAGCGTGTGTCTTTGTCTTCACTGCCTTGTTGTCGGTTTATTTATAATTTTTTCCCTTACATGTCTTGAATCAGCTCGGCAAGCAGGGTTTTAGTTATTGCTTAGTTGACCCTTCGAGGCAAATAACAGCTCCTTCACTACAGTTCCACTATATATTATGTAGCTTGAAATAATGTCTAAAAAACGATGACACAAGATTAACCCCTAAGTAAGCTAAACTCACAAGGAAACAGAAACTGCTTCAGACAAATTAATAAAGATAGCACTACCTTCAAATTAGTAATTGTATATTAGTTTTCTCAAATGCACTTTTGTTTTCGAAGTTTTTCTTTTTAGAAAAATATGATTATGTCTTTGTGTCTATGTACTATTATTCAAATCCCCAATCATTTTGTTCCATTCTGCGTTCTACCATATACATCTGAGCTACCATCCGTAGGAATGTAGTTTTGTACCAGATGTCTAAAATGGTACACACAATATCGCGAAACGCAAAAATATTTTTTTACTTTTACGAGTATCCATTTGTGTCTATTTTATAGAACATTACTCTTACAATAAACTTATTATATTGACTTTGTTTGGGATTTCTTTCCGTAAGCTATATCAAATTCCCTTTTTATTATAGTAAGTGCGGATATTTTGAAGAATAGTGAGTCAGTAAATATTTCTAACATTGGCAAGACCTGGCTTGCCCTAATGTGTTGTATATACAGCCTTTATTATATCAATTTGGATTTTATTAATTATTAGTGTTTTCCTTTGCCCTTTCTATAACTTACTGTAATTTTATGGCTTTTTATGTTTTATTGATATATATTTAGGTGTTGATTATTTTGTAGCATGTTTTAATGATGCCACTTTTTGCTTCTAAATAGTACCAGACCTCCAGAGCTTTTTTCAGCTCATTGTTTCTTCATGATATAACAAGTAATTTTTTTTTTCATATAAAAATATTTTATTTCATCATAAAGACATGATGAGCATCTTGATGAATAGTTACAGTCAGAAAACACAGTTGTAACTTGTTTTAACAATATATTAATTCACACAATGGATGAGAACGAAAGATTACAGAATACTATCGATAAATACATTTGGCATGGTGGTCCTGTATATCACTTACAGCAGGGGTAGGCAACCTTCAGCACTCCAGATGGCGTGGACTACATCTCCAATAGTAATGGCAAACCATCATGGGAAATGTCATCCTAAACATCTGGAGTGCCGAAGGTTGCCTATCTCTGATTTACAGGATTAAGAACTTGATCGTGACTTAGATACCTGCACATAACTTGGTTGCGTAAATGCAGGTTGTCTTTGAAAATATTTTTTTTCTTACTTAGATTTCATCCATGAATGTACATCCAAAGTCTTTCTTTTGCAAAATGCTTTCATGCATAACATGCCTGCTGTGGTTGTCTCTTTTCTTCCTGTGACATATGGCAATCCTTCCCTTGCTCCTGTGCTACCGGCAGTCCCTGTATCGTGGTGTCCACCAGCTGGTCAAGGTCTAGGACCTCTTCAGGGATGTTCTTTTGAGGTATTTCTGTAAGTGGTTTGCCATCTTCTGCGTCGTTCTGCTAAAGTATAAATCAGTGTTAACAGAATGTAGTGCCAACTTGTATTTACTGTCTAGGTCATATTTAGATTTATGACTGTAAAATCTCACATCTGTGCCTCCCTGCTATAAAATCATAATAATAATCTAAGTATTATAGTTCTACAGAATAGCATGTTTACAGCAAGAATATATTCAGCAACGCTGGAAGTCACAATGGAAGCAATTTATAAAATCTAACTTACACTCCTGCTACTTAAAGGACCACTATAGTGCCAGGAAAACAACCCCCCCCCCATGGCCCCTTTCCCACTGGGCTGAAGGGGTTAAAACCCCTTCAGCCACTTACCTTTCTCCAGCGCCGGGCTTCCTCGGCACTGGGGAACTTTCTTCCTCCTGCCGACGTCAGCGCTGAATGCGCATGCGCGGCAACTCTCATCCTCTTGCCACGCGTGCATTCAAACCGCCCATAGAAAAGCTTTACTTAATGCTTTCCAATGCACGGCAGCGTCTTCTCACTGTTATAATCGTGGAACGGCCTTTAGTGGCTGTCAGGGAGACAGCCACTAGAGGCTGGATTAAACCTCAGTGTAAACATAGAAGTTTCTCTGAAACTGCTATGTTTACTGCTGTAGGGTTAAAACTAGAGGGACGTGGTCTATAGTGGTCCTTTAAGTGAGGTAGGTGGTGGAATATGAGTAAGTATCCCTCAGCCTGGCAATATAAACTATTGACTTGACTTTCTGTTTTGGTTATATTTAATTGTTTCCTACTATGTTTGTATGTTGGTGTAATATTTTCACACCTTTTCAACTTCTCTGTGGTTTGTATTCTTGTTCTTCCGACGGTACCATAAATCTAAATATACAAAAGTGAAGAAAAATGACATTAGTCTTTTATGTTTACGTTTTATATCTACGGCATGTTCATATATTGTTGCAATAATTCAGTTAGGTATTTTGTCGACATACAGTCCCATGGAGAAATTTGATTGCGACGATATATGTATTCATAGTTGTGTTAATTTTTTAAATTATGTGATAGATATACTTAAGTGGACAATCATTATTTATTTTAATGAAAAAAAAATTTTAAAAAAAATGCAAATAGTGATTTTATTATTTATAAATGTATATAATGTGGTCAGCCAAAACACAGTTCTTTTAGATAGAAGTGTGAGTCAATTGCAGAATGCTGTCCTAATTAGAAAAATACTGTTATCTATTGAACAGAGAATTTCAAGTACTTCCAGGGACTGCTTAATTAGAGTTAATCCTTACCACAAATGTACAAAACCAGTGGCAAGTTGACCGTGAACTACAAGTTTAGATAAATGTTGCTAGAATTTTAGATATTTCAACATAAATTCTTCTGCAAGACATATGCGAAAACTGCAAATAAACCATTTTTAAAGGAACACTGCAGACACCATAACCACTTCTGATCATGTTAGTGGTTATGGTGCCAGGAATGTTCTGGCATCCCAGAGTATAAGGAGTCAAACCAATTTTAGACAGTCTGGCTTCTTACCTGGGGTCTGCTGGGTGTCGCTCGTGTCTCCACTACTAACGTGGGTGAACCAGAAGTTACTAACAGGTAACTTCCGTTAGCTTTCCTGGGCTAAGCCCTGCAATTCTGGGCTAGCACACTCGCTGAGAGCATCAGCTGATCGAAACCTGTTTGACTCCTTACACTGAGATGGCACAGGGAATTTCTGGCACCATATCCACTACAGCAAGCTGTAGTGATTATGTTTCTTGGAGTGTTCCTTTGACCAGTAACACAAACCTCCAGTTACACTTGTAGAATATATGCATTGTTACCTAGCAATATTAATCGCATACTTACAAACAAAGATGGCTAGTACAACAAACAGCAGGAAGAGTACAAGAGGTATGTAAATTGCAGCTCCATTTTGGGGCTTGGACTCTGAAAGAAAATATGTATCAAATAACGCTTCTACACTTTGCATTGATTCATTGTCTTTAATTGATAGATGCGACTGCTGTGCAGCCCCCTTAAGACAACCACAAGTTACATATTTTGGCACAAACGGGGTCCCCCTCTTATTAGTATTTAGGGCCCCCACCTGCCGCTCAGGGGTGGGGGCCAGGGGGGAGGACATTAGGTCCCCCCCTTATTTTAATTTAGTGCCCCCACCCACCGCTCAGTGGTGGGGACCCTGGGGGAGGACATTAGGTCCCCCCCTTATTCTAATTTAGGGCCCCCACCCACCGCTCATGGGTGGGAGCCGGGGGGAGGACAATAGGTCCCCCCCCCTTATTTTACTGTAGGGCCCCCACCCGCCATTCAGGGGTGGGGACCGGGGGGGGCAATAGGTCCCCCCTTCAGGTTAGAAGCTCCCACTTGCGCGTTGCGGGTAGGGGGTTGGGAGGGGGGGGACGTTTTTTGGGTTTTTTTGTTTGTTTTTAAAGTTTGTTATTAAAGCAGCCACAGGCTGCTCACTGTTTACTAAACATGCCCCTACTCGCGGTATAGCGAATAGGGGCATAATTTACTAATACTAAGTAATCTTTATTTAGTATTAGTAAATTTGGCTGAAAGACCAATTTTGGTCTTTCAGCCTTTTAGTAGATAGCTCCCTAATACCGTGGGATTTAGGGAGTTATCTATTTATTCATTCCTGTCATTACATTGACTGGCTAAGTAACTTACATTTTATATGAATGTACGTTACTTGATTGTTGCAAGTGTTGCAAATGCTTACAGCTGAATCCTGGCTATGTTTGTATACTTTTTATTTAAAATTGTATACAGTGTAACATTCTTCATTCTTCCACTGTGTAAGTATATTAGTTCTTAGGCAATACTGTGCTTCGGAACTTTGGCACTTCGGCAACTTTGGAACTTCAGCAACTTTGGAACTTCAGCACTTTGACACTTCGGAAATTCAGTAATTTCGGAACTTTGACAAGGTGACAATTCATTTATTCGGGCATTCGGAAGTACCCGAATGTCCGAATTGCCCGAAACGAATTGCACATGTCTACTAAAAAAGACTGGACATAACCCATTTGTAATACCTTGGATTGTCTACTTTTTCAAATGGTATGCTATCATGGGGGTAATTCTCATTCCTGGGCTACCATTTGATCTCAAAGGCAACATAACCAGTCTGGCAAATTTCAATGTGTATAAACTGAGAAATGTAACGTGCTATATTTGACCCGGTTACTTTCCAAAACACCATAAAACCTATACATGGGGGGTACTGTTTTACTCTTGAAACAACGCTGAATACAAATATGTGTACTTTATTGCAGTAACAGCTAAATATGACATACACAATTAAAATGCTATGCAGAACTAAAAAAATAACAACATTTCTTAACTTCTCAACTTTGTTTAGATTTTTATTATATTAAATTGTGTTTCATAGCTAAATATTTGATATAAAAATGAAAGCCCTGTTTCTCTTGAACAAAATGATATATAATAAGTGTGGGTGCATTTAATATGAAAAAGGTGAATTACAGCTAAATACAGACACCGCAGAAATGTAAAAACAGCCTGGGTCCTTAACGGTAAGAAAATTGAAAAACGGTATTGTCACTATGGGCTTAAACACCTCGGTACATCTCTTATAGCTTTCTATGACCGAGCTTTTCATCAGTCATGAACATTCATGACATAATGACATGAGCAGTTTTATTCACCAAAAACCATCACTGAAGCTAACATATTGGTAGAAGAGTTCACATTTCCTGGTCTCAGAAGGCATCAATGAAGGGGTTTCCATATCTTAGGGTTGAAAGCTTTTAACGTGACTATGCTCCTTTTTAATTAATTTGCACTTATGATACATTGTCCACATAATACATTAAATAGGTGATTGAACTCATTCAAGTTTTTCCTTAAATATATATTGTGAAAGTAGCTGTACATCTAAATCTGAAAACATCTTTCTAGAGCAACTAAATCCTTGTTCCATACATCGGCAATGAATACTCACTACATTTCACATCACTGACATTGCTTCCAGGTCCGTCTTCGATATGAGTAGAGTTACAACTAAATAAAAAAAAAAATGACAGGAAGTTAAGAGACTGTATCTTAAACCAATTGACCAATCATAGACCGTGAGCTGTTCAAGAAGTGGACCTGCTCTATCTGGGGACCTTAATAACTTGAGATTTATCATTAGTTAAATGGTTCTAATCCCATACCAAGTCAACGTTTGTGGTCACTGCGTACTCCACCAACTAAGCTCCATAACAATCACTGTTCTCTATCCAAGTAATAATCAAAACTATGAAAATAGATTGAAAAAATAGAGTTTTTTTCGAGGCCACCATAATTTCCAGATTTTTTTGTGCCTTTTGTTATGAATCGGACCACACACCATCTACCGAAGGGAAATTAAGTTGCATTGTTAATTGTTTCATAGGACGTGATCTTGTTCCGGCCACTTCTTGCTTCGGTATTTTTTCCTGAACAGCATTTTATTTTTTTATCGACTCCACTTAGCAAATTGACTCCAGTATTGTCACTAATAAGTATTGTTTACATCATTCTAAGCCGTTGCCTAGGGGAATATTCTCGCACTGCAATGAATTCCAAACTAATATCTGCAGAGGTTTATTACTTTTGCAGTTATGATGCATACTTAGTTTAATTTGCGAAGGTCAAACATTGCCTTGCTAATAACAGATGTCCCATGATGTAGCATATGTGCATATGTTATTATGCTTACTTAGATATATCCCAAAAGGATGCAGAGTTACAGATTAGGGCATGTTCATGGAGCTGTTTTATTGCCGTCTACGTCTGACACCACAGTGTTACCGCTTAATACTAGGCACTGTGAAGTCAGGCAGCTCATTTGAACAGGGATTATGCGTGAATGCAAGATTACTCACTTGCATACATAATAATGAACAGGTTAAGCTAGGGTTGTGTACTCCAAAAAAAAAATCCTGCTTTCAAATACTTTTTTCACTGCTGGATTTAAGGATAAAGGACAAAGATTTATGCAAATGTCACATGGAAGAGTGCTAATATTTAAAAAAACAAATATATGCATTCCATTCCTTGAGATATATATATAGGAGAAAGGTTGTTCTTGCCTGAACTAATGTACTTTTAAAGGGTGCTTCAGTTATCAATAAATACAACATACAAAGTGCGGCATACTCTACTTTAATCTAACATATTTTTTGGAACATAAAACGCACTAATATATTTAAAAAGTATCAGAAAAAAAAACCAAAACAACTAGTACTATAATTATACTTCATGTGTATTGTGGATGTAGTGAGTATGTGTATTGTGGATGTAGCGACAGAGACCGAGACAGAGAGAGAGTGTGTGTATAAAGGAGATGTGGCTTGTCTTTAGGTAATGTTGTGTATGTGTGCAGAGTATGTAATGTATGTTTGTAGAGTACATAATGTGCGTGTGAAGTATACGGTGGAACTTTTTGAGCTACTAAAGGAATAACTCGTAGGTGTTTTAAGCAGCTAATTAAAACAAAAAAATAAACTGAAAAGTATACAAACATATTTTTATAAGCGCCTTATAACACATACAAATCTAGTTACATAATGTGTATGTTTAGGAACTGTGGTAAGTGTGTGTGTTTTTAGGTAATCCAGTGTGTGCAGGAAATGTGCTGTGTGTGCAAGGGAGGACATGTGCGTGTAGGGAATGTAGTGTGTTTGCGAATTTGTATGGTGGCATAGGGCCTGTGTTTTGCGGGTAATAAGAGGGGAGCAATATTACATATATTTTTTATTATTTGAGTTTATATGGTTTTATTTAAGGTTATGTCCTCCTTGCATTACGACGAGCTTTGATAGTCCGGTGGTGAGTGACTCTAACCTGCACACTCTTCCCGCGAGCCCCCCAGTAAATTTACATGAAATGACTTGACATGCGCAAAATCGTCCTTTCGCATATGCTTTAAATATCCTAAATCTGAGCATTGTTGTCCGGGACTCACATGAGGAATACTCTCACCCAGCAGAGGTGTAGGCTACAGTCTCCTGACCTTCCTCCCTGCCATACATTGCTTAGCCCTACTTCTATATACAGAGTACCACATTTTTATCAAGTCCTACAATATACCAACCTGACTGCTCTCTTGCGATTAACTCAATTACATGGAACATCCAACGACTTGGGCCTCTCTTCAGTTAATTTTCTTCTTCTTTTTTTTAATGGCTATAATGGGGCACCTGTGACAGGGAGGGGTGCCTGGGAGCCTGACCAAACTCTGGTTTGTGCCCCTTCTTGTTACAGGTGCCTCATTACAGGCACTATTTAAACCTAGTACAGCAGAGAGCCCCAAGAGGATGGAACTCCCATTTAAATGAATTAATCTTATAAGAGCGGCAAGTAGGTTGGTACAAAGTGGGACCTGGAAAAATGGGGTACTCTTTAAACAGTGATAGTGCTATGCATTATCATATACTCTAACTATAGCCCCATGACAGGAACTGTACTTACAAACAGAGAGGATTAACTTCCTTGAGTGAGAACATAAGATTCCAACATAATCAATAACAAATAATCAATTGATTTACTGTTTGCAAGTGAGAAATTTAATTAAAGACCATATATTTAAATAATATTAGCATTTTTCTCAGTAGGTTTGGCGTGAAAGATCTACCAGTCATAATGTTCCGTACAATGGTCTGTAAAAAAATATAATAAAGCAGGACTCCTGACTCAAGTACTTTAAAGTGATACTTAAGGCTTTGCTCCAGGGGACTCTTGTCACCATAACCACAACAGCCTGCTGTATTGGTAAAGGTGCTTAGAATATCTCTTTAATTAAAAAGAAATAGCTGACAAACCATAAAATAAAATTAACGCATCTTACTCAAAAAAGACAGCCATCCTTAAGAGAAAATAAGGGGGGAAAAGGCATATACAATTTGTATTCCTGTACTATCAGCTGAGATGGGGGAGCTTACTCACACATACATGCAACTATAGTTACGAAATGCTATCCGAATAACACAAAATATTCATATACCCTTAATAAAAAGAGGTTTCTATAACACATTGCATTATCAACAAATTTCCAGTTAAATGAATCTCATGTTATGCTTGTTAGTTAAAATTCAATGATACACATCAAATTATAATTTAATACACTTTGTCAGCGTAAGAACAATTAAATACTAGGCTTGTTTTCTTCTATGGTGTTCTTTGTTAATAATAAGGTCTTGTAATGGTCTGTTGGAATTTTTTTTTAATTATTCTAATAATTAAGACACATTTTAGATGGTTGCCAGGCATATATTGCATAATGGTTTCTTGTAACCACATGGTCCAGCTGTGTCGATGTGTGCCCTTAAGGCAAACCGCTATTTTCGATAATTATAGTGAGTTTATAGGAAAGTCGTAGCATAGATAAGGACTTGCGGCGTTTATTAGTTCATAAAGAGGTGAGAGAATATGTTGGTAATAATTGTTTCACGGTCACATCAGTATATCTTCGACAATGGAAACATGAATAAAAAAGTACAAGATAAAAGAAAAAAAAACGATAACAAAAGCAAATTGATAAATAGAAAGTACAAAAGGATTGTGTAAAGAATATATGGTACACGAATGGAAAGTCGATGAGTGCGATTGTACATTTTCCAAGTCCCTCTTGAGAGATGCCTCTCCAGATGAAAATCGTGTCCTCAAAGTACGAAATGGTAAATAGATTTTCACAATGAATATCTCCCACTGAAATCCTGCTCATAAAGCTGACTTTGTCCCCGTCTTCATATCTTCGTTGAAGATTTTCAGGGTAATTACATCACCTGGAGTTTGTATTATACATGCTTGTGTTTGCATGCAATTTTGCACGTGACCCTCGCCATTAATACGTGTATTAAAATAGGACAAAATGCACAAAATGACCTCTGGATCATCATATCAATTTTATATACCACGCTAGTCTACTTCTTGCATACAATGCAATTGTACCACATTTCCTATCTATTTTGTTTGATGGATTGTACTGTTTTCAAAATTCTCAATCGTGATTTAAAAAAAAAAATTGAAAATAAAAAATAGAAGTAAATAGCAATTATCTCATATGCATGTAACCTCAACAGACAGAATGTTCTCCATGAAGTGCATATTACATTCATTCTTTCTTGGATTGTTCTCCTACATGTATGTCTTACCTAGTCCATGATTGACATTCCTCGGTGTCTGACTTTACATTGGAGAATTTCCCATGTGGGCAGGGTGAGCATTGAGTATCAAAATGCTTATAAGCTGGAAATAAATAAAGAGGAGTTAGGTAAATATTGAGTGAAGGATGCAATAAATACATTACCTTTATCACATTTAGGGATTCTGCATTTGTGTATGCTATGACCACAAAGGTACCATATTAAAGTAAGAAGTGGCAGTTAAGACAGAGGGGCTATTTCTTCTGACTCTTCTGACCCTGATGTAGTCAAAAAGATTGAATTTTGCACATTATTAATCACGTCTGACAAATCTTGAAACTATCAAGAATGGGCCTGAATTAGGGGTGACCCAAAAGCCTGGTAGGTTAAAGACAGAAGCCAACCCAATAGTATCAGTATTTGCTTCACCTTTCTGTATGACTCCTTCTCCAAGGTCGCAAGCCTTGTTTTGAATGCACGTTTCGCATGACTGACTGGAGCAATGCCTGCCATTCTGACACCTGCACTGCACATCCTTGACATTGGTCCCCTCACTCTCCAGTTCAAGGCCGGCATCTAAAGAGAATTAAAGCAGGGGAAGAAGATGATGGAGAGATAAGGAAACAAAGTAGATACATCTACAGAAATAAAGGTGAAGTACAGTAAAAAAACAAAACAAAAAAAAAGACATTGTAAAGAAACAAGATACGGACAAAAAGATTCAAAAGACAGCATGGCCTGCTCTGCTCCAGTCCTCCCAACTCACCACCTGCTCCCTAGATCCAATTCCCTCGCATCTCATCCGTACTCTGTCTTCTTCTCTTTCTCTACCTCTAACTACAATTCTCAATCTCTCTCTCTCCTGTGGCATATTTCCATCGTCCTTCAAACATGCAACTGTAACCCCAATTCTAAAGAAGTCCAACCTTGACCCAAACTCCTCGTCCAACTACCGTCCTATCTCGCTACTGCCTTTTGCGTCCAAGATCCTCGAAAGGGTTGTGTATGTGAGATTGACAGACTTCCTCGAGTCCAACTCTCTGCTAGACACTCTGTGGAAACGGCACTGACCAAATTATCCAATGATCTACTCACTGAAAAATCTCGTGGTCACTATGCTATCCTAATTCTCCTTGACCTTTCTGCGGCTTTTGACACTGTTGATCATCAACAGCTTCTTCTTATCCTCCGCAATATAGGTCTACAAGGTATTGCTCTCTCCTGGTGCTCCTCCTACCTCTCCCAGCACTCTTTTAGGGTTTCTTTCTCTGGCTCTGCTTCTTCTCCCCATCTCGTCTCTGTTGGTGTCCCTCAAGGTTCAGTCCTTGGTCCCCTACTGTTCTCTATCTATACTGCCTCCCTTGGTAAACTCATTAGCTCCTGTGGCTTCCAATATCATGTCCATGTGTATGGCATGCAAATCTATCTCCTCTCCTGATCTCTCCCCGTCCCTCTTGACTAGTGTCTCTGACTGACTCTCTGCTATTTCTAACTGGATGGCTGCCCACTTCCTTAAACTCAACTTGTCCAAAACAGAACTTCTGGTCTTTCCTCCCTCAAGTGTTGCTACACCTGTGCGTCTCCCTCAAAGACAACAGTGCTGCCATCAGCTCCACCACGTAGGCTCGCTGCCTAGTTGTTCTCTTTGACTCCGACCTCTCCTTCACGCCTCATGTTCAGTCTATCGCCAAATCCGGTCGCTTCAATCTCAAAAACATTGCGCGCATCCGACCCTACTTAACGCCAGATGCGACTAAGGTGCTGGCCCATTCCACTGTACTTTCTCGCCTTGACTACTGTAATCCGCTTCTCAGTGGTTTTCCGTGCTCCCGACTTGCGCCGTTACAGTCCATAATAAATGCAGCGGCGAGGCTCATCTTCCTGTCCGCCTGCACCTCCCACGCCTCACCCTTCTGTCAGTCCCTACATTGGCTTCCTGTAATATATAGGGCTCAATTTAAAATTCTGGTTCTTGCTTTCAAATCTCTACATAATGCTGCTCCCACCTATCTATCCTCCCTAATACACAACTATGTCCTGTCTAGGTCCTTACGCTCTGCTGAAGACTTATGTCTATCTTCTGTCCGTACTCCCACGTCTGATGCTTGTCTTCAAGACGTCTCGAGGGCTGCACCGTTCCTGTGGAACTCACTTTCCTCCTCCGTTAGATGCTCACCCAGCCTCCACTCCTTCAAAAAATCGTTAGAAAACCCACTTCTTCATAAAAGCGTATCAATTGAACTGTTAATAGCTCTTGACTGATTCCTCTTCTGCAACTGTCACTAGTCTAATACTATCCTTATCTTTTTGTGTCATTTTACCCCACTCCCTCTAGCATGTAAGCTCATTGAGCAGGGCCCTCAACCCCTCTGTTCCTGTGTCAAACTTGTCTGGTTACAACTTCATGTTTGTTCATCCACCCACTGTAAAGCGCTGCGGAATTTGTTGGCGCTATATAAATAATAACATAATAATAAAAGTACAATAAGGGTCATACTATTGTCACAGTAGTTGTGTTGATGGCAGCTGGCTTCCGAGTTCCATTTATTTTGAAATTCCCCCACATCACATGGCAAACAGATGGTAGTGTTCTGCTCATCACAGTCTTTGCCTACTTTATGTCCTGTAAAAAGCAAGTAAGTTTCAGCATCCCAAAACTATAAGCAAGGAGAAACCCTTAAACGAATATTCAAAACAAACAAAATAAAATATATCAGAGATGTATTTTGTCTATCAGTGTAGCTGTAAGAGATTAATTTACCATAATGTACTTATTCAAAATCTCTAGAGGAAAATAAGGGACACACTGCACTCATAGTTTCACTTGCAAGTGCATTCTTTTAACCAACATAAGGACACAGCAGATCAATGTTCCCTGACAACTCATTTGAAATGTTCTTTAATCTTGTTTCCAGAGAACACCCAATACCAACTTAACTATCGTCTCTTAGGAGATCCACTTCATTCCAAGATGTCTAAATATGACACCGACTCCATCTAACAGCACTTTGAAATAAAATGTAACACATCTAACATATTGGCATATGCAGTATGATACACTTCTAAAAAATAATCTAAAGATCTCGTAAGATAAGGGTTGTAGAGATATAAATGGGAAATAGCACATAGGAAGATCTTTATATTGTTTGGAAAGAAATGGAATCCATGAGAGAAGACAAGCTTAGGTAGACTGCCGATATAGAATTAACTAAGAGAGTGGAAACAAAGACAGATCCTTATGGAATAGCTATTGTTTGCACTTTTAAAAGAGATGTTGTAAGAACAGTTAGAGTTAGAGGGTTAAGACAAATTCTAGGACACCTTCCCCATCAAACTATACGAGGTGCTTCATGTAACAATATATCCAAAGCACATATTCCATGCATCAATGAACATGCAGAGAGCTTGTTCCATCTAACAAGGAATTCAGAGTCGATTGGTTCTACCGAAAAAAATAAAAAATATCCGGAATACCTGCTCTATCTCTCTGTGTATACACAGGCATCCAATTGATAATGCATGGAACATGTGTTCGGTCAATGTAGACATAGATAATTTAATGTGGCAATATATACAAGAGACTGATTTCATTAAGTAATGTATCCAATTAACCGTAAGAAGATTGAACAGTTGGTGCCTAAATAGGTGCCTCTGTACAAAGAACAGGACAGTGCCGTAAAATCGGGTAATCCTAATAACTGTGAGGGTAATCCTAATAACTAAAAGTAGAAACTGAAGTAGGAAACTTATTCATGAAGAGTGGTTTCCTTGATAGATCCTGAGCAAAAAGGAACCCTTTATTAATATAAAATTAAAAATCACATTAAGTGAACAAAAAGCACACATCTTTTTCAATTATGATGAAAGTGCCTATTTATGGCACCAAAACTTACGTCAGATAATCTTTACACATCTTTACGGATGCCATGAGACTGCGTGTTTGATGCACTCATTTATGGTGGTGGGACGAAGTGATGGTGTTTCACATTGTGTCAATTTGATGTTTTTGATATTTTAGGTAGCTATCTAGTTAGGAGGTTGAGGGCTAGCTGTTACAGTACGAGGAGATGGGCAAAGTGTTATACTTACCCATAGAGGTGTAAGGTGAGAGAATCTCTATTGACTGTAGGGACAGTTTGGCTCAAGTAGATGGGCGGTGCTTTTATCCATCCATCGAGGTATGAACCCTCAGAATTTGGCTAAAAGTATATACTTTAGCTTTCCCCAGTACACACTTTAGCTTCACCATAACTCGTAACTCTTTACAATTAACCTATCCTATTTTTCTTGCCTTGAAACTATGTACCTCTGTATTTTCCCAACTTTCATTATTTTAAAGGGCTCTTTTCGCTAATATTACAGCCTAATGTTGACATTTCCTACAGATGCTCGATGCGAGGAATTGTTACTGTTAATGTACAGTTTATAGCTCACAGTCTTCAGAGCTAAACTTTGATTTTTAGACTATTCAACTGATAGACTGTTTCACCAGACATAAGGGTTTCTAAATCTCTCTACACTGTTCTGTTCTAGATCTGAGAATTAACAAATAAGCTAATTGGGGCAAAAATAAACAATATTATTTACTGTAGTAGTTTATTTTACGTCCCCCACTTTTCTATATTTTTTTTATATACCTTTTTTGTAGCACTTCTTCTCAACTAGAGGTTGCGCATGTTTTGTGTTCACTTTTATGTCATTTTTAACTTTATATCAATAAATAACTATTTTTACTCAGAATTCCTCTTTTGGAGTATGTTTCCTCCTTCAGTTTTCTATATTAAATATTATGTGTGTGTAGAACCCTTCTCTACATGTACAATAAGAAGATCCATCCCATATATAAATATACTCCAAAGAAAGCTATTTTATCTACTCACCTGTACCCAGGAGAAATAAAAATATCCAAATGAGGCATGTACTTGTTATGAATAGTTGAATATATGGCCAATTATTACAGGAAACATGACTTGTGTTTCAAGACATTGATACAATGTATACTTCATTATATACTATATACACTGGAAGCAATCAACATATCACACTGTATTTATCTAGCACGTTTGCTTTACTGATGTTCCACTAAAGGGACACTATAGTCACCAAAACAACTTTAGCTTAATGAAGCAGTTTTGCTGTATAGAACATGCCCATCCAGCCTCACTGCTCAATTCTTTGCCATTTAGGAGTTAAATTACTTTTTTTATGAACCCTAGTCACACCTCCCTGCATGTGACTTGCACAGCCTTCCTAAACACTTCCTGTAAAGAGTCATCTAAAGTTTATCCTTCCTTTATTGCAAGTTCTGTTTTATTTAGATGTTCTTATCCCCTGCTATGTTAATAGCTTACTAGACCCTGCGATAGCCTCCTGTATGTGATTAAAGTTCAATTTACAGTGCAGGAGATTAAATTATTTAAGGTAAATTACATCTGATTGAAAGTGAAACCAGTTTTCTTTTTCATGCAGGCTGCATCAATCAGAGTCAGGAGAGGTGTGACAAGGGCTGCATAAACAGAAACAAAGTGATTTAACTATTAAATGGCAGTGAATTGAGCAGTGAAACCTGAGAGACATGATCTATGCACTAAAAATGCTTCATTAAGCTAAAGTTGTTTAGTTGACTATAGTGTTCCTTTAAATAATGTATCCAATAAACACCTGCTCCATCTGATTATATATTGATATCAAACTTCCTTTATCTAACAATATATATAGATGACCCTCTACATCTGATAATGAACACATAGCAAAGCTGCTTCATTTAGTAAGGAATTCCAAACACACTATGATGCGTATAATAATGTACCCACAAAAGATACACTATTTCTAGCAATGTACCTATATAGGACAGGCTGTACAATATATTAGATATGTTATGTACACTGAGTTACATATATACTGCCAATACATGAACGGAGACACCACACATAGCCCTAATGAAAACTCCAAAGCAAACTAAACCTAGAGGCTTTAAAATTCCCGCTTGGCCACTAGTCCACTTGGTCGCTTGGCCACTGACAAGTGAAAATTCAGCCCTGATAAGTAGAAATTCACGCCAAGCGGGTGGTGCCACAGACCCTCCCGTCTTGAGGTGGTGAGTAATTTTTAAGACTGTCAAGTTGCATAGGACTTGAATTTTTGAGCCCTGGTAACAGGGTACCACATAAGATGGTGGACATTCATGCAACATCAAGCACACTCCTATGTGTTCATACTATCCACTTAAGCATTGGTGGCCCTAGTTTGGGTGCCTTGGCCAGTCTGCAAATGCCAGCCTATTTTGGAATTCATAAATCTATCCTAGAAAGTCTAAACTATAAATCACAAATCTCACTTACCAGGCGGACACTGGTCACAACATCTGCCATCTTTCGAGTACTGCTTTTCAGAACACGTGTTTGCAACAACCTGTGACGAAAAAAAAAAAAGTTGAAGGACCGAATGCAAGGGATTTACAAAATATTGCATTCATTTAAAAAAAAAAAACAACTCATGTTTTTACATCCGTATAGAAATGTCTGAACCACTTGATTTATAAAATACACTAAAAGAGGAGTATATTTAATCTGTGAATAAAGAATGCCCATCACATAAAAATGATTTTAATAAACACACAATACCTAGATCGCAATCCAATTAAGCACATTCAGTTTACCCGATCCCTCCCACATTCAAACCATTCCATTTTTTTTCTCCTCTCTCTTCCTCCCTTTGTCATTTCTTTCCACTTCCCACTCTTAAGCAGTGGTTATTGTCTGTCGACATCTTATTATGTACAACAATCTGATGATGATCATCGGAAAACATGCTTGTACCACTATTCTGTATACAATGGCCACAAATGTAACTACATGTAATTACCGGGTGATAAAAAATACTAACATACCGTTTTCTTTTTTCTGTGTGCCTATTGAAACTTCTTAGAAAAAGTAAAATCCAAACGGTTTTGTGGTGTGGATGGATATGTGTGAACTGTTTGATGATAACAAATAAACATGGTCCAAAATCTCCAGGTAAAGTATTGATCAGAGCGGAACTTACAGGCTACTAGCTAGGTATACAAAGAATGTGTCCATTCAGATCAGCTACAGGCAGATACATAAAAATGCTAATATATTTAGACAAATATCTATATGGCAGTGATTACACTTACCATTTTAACTAATATAGTAAAATTCATAAACCCTTATAGAGGCCCTAATATAGTAAAATTCATAAACCATGTTTACTTACTATACTTAAAGGGACACTATAGTCACAAAAACAACTTTAGCTTCATGGAGCCGTTTTAGTGTATAGATCAGTGATGGCAAACCTTTTTGAGCCGGAGTGCCCAAACCGCAATACATGCCAACTTTTTTTTCCTCAAAGTGCCAACACAGCAATTGAACCTGAATACGGAGGTTTAAGTTTAGAAAAAACAACTGGTACAGATGTCCAAACTAATTAACAACTTTTGTTTTAAAAGAAGAACACAACAGAGAGTTCAATAATACAAATTTTAAATAATGATATAAATAGATAAAATTAAGCTTATATTTATTAGTATCTCCAACAAATGCAATACACGCACACACAGTCCGCAGAACACACGCGCGCCCACACACAGTCTGCTGAACACATGCGGTCACACACAGTCCGCTGAACACACGCGCATACACACAGTCCGCTGAACACACGCACGCACACACACAGTCCGCTGAACACGCGCGCACACACACATTCTGCTGAACACGCGCGCACACACACAGTCTGTTGAACACACACACAGTCCGCTGAATACATACACACACAGTCCACTGAATACATACACAGACTGCTGCGTACATACACAGACGGCTGAGTACACACATACTGCATTGAGGGGTGCAGTGCATGTGTTTGTGTGTAAGGGTGTGGAGTGTGTGAGGGGTGCTGTGTGTGTTTGTGTGGGCTGGGTGCTGTGTGTGTGGGGGTTAGGGGATCTGTGCTGTGTGGGGGTTAGGGGTGCTGGGTCGAGGGGGTTAGGGGTGCTGTGTCGAGGGGGTTAGGGGTGCTGTGCTGTGTTGAGGAGCCGCGTGCCCACAGAGAGGGCCCGGCATGCCACCCGTGGCACACGTGCCATAGGTTCGCCATCACTGGTATAGATCATGCCCCTGCTCTCTTCTCAATTCTCTGCCATTTAGGAGTCAAAGGACCACTCTAGGCACCCAGACCACTTCAGCTTAATGAAGTGGTCTGGGTGCCAGGTCCCTCTAGGATTAACCCTTTTTTTTATAAACACAGCAGTTTCAGAGAAACTGCTATGTTTATACTTAGGGTTAATCCAGCCTCCAGAGCCTCTAGTGGCTGTCTCATTGACAGCCGCTAGAAGCGCTTGCCTGCTTCTCACTGTGAAAATCACAGTGAGAGCACGCAAGCGTCCATAGGAAAGCATTGTAAATGCTTTCCTATGCGACCGGCTGAATGCGCGCGCGGCTCCTGCCGCGCATGCGCATTCAGCCGATGACGTCGCAAGCAAGGAGGAGAGGAGGAGTACAGCTCCCCGCCCGGCGCTGGAGAAAGACAAGTGTTTAACCCCTTTCTCTCTCCAGAGCCCGGCGGGAGGGGGTCCCTGAGGGTGGGGGCACCCTCAGGGCACTATAGTGCCAGGAAAATGAGTATGTTTTCCTGGCACTATAGTGGTCCTTTAAATCACTTTGTTTATGCAGCCCTTGTCACACCTCCCTGCATGTGACCTACACAGCCTTCCTAAACACTTCCTGTAAAGAGTCATCTAATGTTTACACTTCCTTTATTACAAAGTCTGTTTAATTTAGAATGTCTTATTTCCTGCTCTGTTCATAGCTTGCTACATCCTGCAGGACCCTCTTGTGTGTGATGAAAGTTTTATTTACAGAGATAAAAACTTTGAAAGTAAGTTACATCTGACTGAAAATTATTTGATTGGTGAACCTGTCCCTGTATTTCATGCACAAGCATGCAATTTTGATTATTTTTATAATAATAATGAGCCATAATGAGAAAATGGCAAAATAAATCCTGTATGTATTATTGCATTGCCTGTATATGGATGGTATGTGTATCTGAGAGCATTTATAATCGGTTGTGGTACATACGTACAGGTCCTCTTATTTTTATACTTTACACTTTTAGGTATGATACATTCAGGTTCATCAATATGGTGCAATCTAGTCTGAACAAATGCAAGTCACCAGGTTGCCATGGTGACTGAGAATTGCATGTCAGTGACAAGATTTCTAAGGCTGGTACAAAATCAAAATGTCATTATTACATTTTTCATTATTATATAATTCCGGCTGTTGTGATTTTGTTTGTGTATATAGTATTTTTTTTTTTTTTTTTTTAAACCTGCTCATTGACTATAAACCTTAGTGTTTGGATGGGGTCAGGGGATATAGATAGGACCCACACATCCATACTCTGTGCTTTAGAGAAGACAGAAAATACTAAAACCCTGAATTACTGAAAATACAGAAATACTTATTTCTAAAAATGTTAAATTGCTTGTGTATAGCTACAACATGAGACTTGTTTGATGCTGCAGTGTCACAATATATGCTTTCTTTACCTATGCTAACGGTATAGAAATATGGCATCATTAGAGACAAAATTGAATAAAATTAAATATATGATTTTGCTAGCAATTGGAATAGCACAATAAATAAAACGAATTTTGCGTCTTTGCCGGTGATGTAAAAATTCCAGGACCAGGACCGTTATAGGGATCCAGAGGACAAGCAGCTGTTAGTGAAAGGTACTGTGGCAGATAGAAAGTATTCTCTAGCGTCCATTTATGTTCCCAACCATAAATGGCGAAAATGTATCCGTAGAACATTGAATAGCCTGAAGGATTTTGCTAAGGGAATTCTAATCCTGGGTGGGGATTTCAATGTACTTCTGGACCCTATTTTGGATTCTTCCATCTAAATTTTCTCACCTAATTATTAGAGCCATTCGTTAAGCCTCATGGGAATTGCAGTTGGTGGAGTGCTGGAGAGCATTTAACCCTGATGTTAAAGACTACACTCATTACTCGGCTCCCCATGGCCACTACTCCCAGATAGACTACCTGTTCATGCAGCAAGAAGACCTTTCCCATCTGCCAAAGGCAGAGATTCAATGGTTTAGCCATAGTCCAGTTCAATAACGCTAGAGTCGCCCCTGTCTAGACCAGTGGAATGGATGTGGAGACTTAATGAGGCGATGCTTTCAGATCCAGTTGTAAAGGAGCAAGTGATCCAGGCCATAGATTATTATTTTGCAGAAAACAATTCAGTTGACGTGTCTTGTGTGACAGTGTGGGAGGCTCACAATAGTGTACTTACGGAATGCCTCATACAGATAGCTACTAGACAGTAAAGAGAAGCAATACAACAAAGGTCTGACCTTAATGACCTTATTGCCACTTTGGAAACTTGATCCCAGGTTGAGGCGATGTACAGGGATTTGCTGGAGGCTAAGCGAAAGGTAGCGATGCTCCTCACACACCAACACTACAGGGCGATACAGCACTCTAAGTGCTTCTTCTATTATCATATAATATATATATATATATATATATATATATAACATATTATATATATTAAAATATATATTAATATATAATATAATACAATAAGGGAGGTAGGCTTCTTGCACGGATGCTGAGGGGTCCACAACCACACACTCAAGTGCAACCACTTAAGTTAGCTTCGGTGTACTCCGCCCTTCCCACAGGATACTGCGAGAGCGTTTCAGACGTTCTACTCCTCGTTATATAATATTACTAACAAATTTTACCTTTTTACCAGAACATATATATGTTGAACGCAACATAGCAGTATTAATCCATATTTCATCTTGCTTAAACAGTAAATTGTCTCTTCATAATATTTTTGCTATTATGGTTGTTAATCCCCTATATTTAACAAATATGTATTTGTGATCTGTGAAAAATAAAGTTTGTAGAATTGTAGGAATCCACATCACTTTATCCTGCAAGTCCTTTGGACTTGGCAGTCAGCATTGAGAACTCAGGTGACAGCACGCACAGTGGTTATAGTTACCATACATAGTAAAAAGTTCTGTTCGCAGACATAGAAATTTACAAAAAATACAGAAGCAGATCATTGTGTAGTTAATGCGCACAGTGATTCCATAAATTCTCTCCCAATTGGGTCACTCACATACTTTTGAGCCTTTTTAAAGTGGCTCTTTTTTTACCCACTGTGTGTGTTTTTACAAGGTTTTTTTTAACCCTTGTAAAATAGTACTATTAAATAGTAGCTACCTTTAAGAAAGTGAGACAAATGTGGGTGGAAACATAAAAAATGTGCAAACCCAGTGAACTGTCCTTAACGCAAAAGAACGGAAAGAGGAAACTAATACAAAAAATGTGTATTGCTTAGACAAGTAGTTTGATATACACTGAAACCCAAAAAACCCATCAAAACCAGAACCACTCTATTCTACGTTCCCGTTTGACTCTGTGTTGGCATTTAAACGTTAACAACCTAATCAACTTTGAGCATGGCTAAGCTGTAGTGTTAGCTAGGGGAGTGAAGCTCAATACACAATAATCTATGCTCAGAAGGATATAATGCTGTCATGACTGCGTGTTTAGCTCTAGTCGATAACACATGCAGTATACAACTCCTAGATATATCAATTGCCAAAATTTCAGATGCCCAACAGTGTGCTAAACAGTGCCTGAGTTAATAAAAAAGAACCAAAATAAAACTGAATAAAGTAAGTGTAAAAAACAACATGTTAAACCAAGATTAATATATGCTACTGGAGTTTCTTAAGGAAAGCCACGCAGCTCTCTGGGGCCTGCTCCACAGATTGCTTGAAAAGGCATGCAGACAGGCATCCTGAGTCCTCTGGGTTCAGCTCATTCCTGCCTCTGACTAAGGAGAAGTGAATGCAGAGTCCTGAAAGGAAGGTAAGTCTGGTGGTGCCATTACATGAGCCTACCACTTGTGCTCCCGCTTCCGGTACCACTAATGGCTGAAAACGGAGATCCTGACTATAGTGTTGTGCCCAGGAGTGGGGCTGTGGTTCGAGGAGTGTCCTCTGGGGGCCCAAAGTCCAGGAAGGCAGTCGTGGAGACCGGCCTAGGGTCCAGGTACTGAGGCCAAGGTAGCCATAGTTGCTCTGCTGATTGTCAGCATTGTTTAGGCTGTCTGTGTGCAGTTAGTTCAGCTGTGCCCAGTGTAGGTCATGCGGCCGCCATTTTGTCGGCTTGGCACAGGAGTCTGAACGCTGGGTAAGCTGTGCATGGATGGTCTTCATAGTATCGGCTCCCTCCAGTGGGGACCGGTATAACTCCCGCCGGCCCATTGGGGACATCGGTGCCTGCAAGGGGTGTCACGGGGCTGTTATGTGGCACCCAGATATATGAACAGAGCAGCGGCTGTCTGCCCCGCTCCTCTCCAAGTAAGCCGCATGCTCCGAAGCTTCATATCACCCGCAGCGGCCTCAAAACTCTTGATCTTGGAGTCCACGGTAGCGCCAATAATTGCCTTCACATTTGATAAAATTACACTGCTTAGATGTTAGCCGTGAATCCAGAATTTCAGCTGAAAAAGCAAAATTCAGCAGGAGCCTCTCCAGCATGTGACCGGTCAGCAAGGCTGTCAGGCACTGACCCCAAAACCAATCACTTTTAATATGGTTGAATATTTAAAAACCTAAACGCACAAACAATTTTTTATTTTTTTTAAATTACCCTCTTTGAATGTAAAGTTTAAAGAGGCCTCTTGTTATATCCAACAAATAAATCACTTAAACTATTAAAATGCAAACATTTGAAGTATCAGGAAGCAGTATACATTTGAGCAGGAAACAGTAAAATAATTGTGTTTTGGAGGTAACAACGGTGAGGTCTGTTTGTTCTTTTACGGTATTAATGTAACACTGCATGTTTATTCCAACATGATAATCACAGAGTTTGTAGAATTGTTGAGTTCCTACTAAATCGAGGCAGTACTCTCCAATTTCTTTTTAACACTTGGTCTATGCAACTGCATAAGATTTCTGCTCATTTCGCACTGTAGGGTTATAGAAATTTCCTCTGAAAGCCGAAAAATGAACTACAGGGACAAAAAGTCTATTACTTTTCTTGGGAATGTTGGGAAATATGAAGCAGAAAGACCACAAAAGATGTCACATTGTGAGATGAATGGTTTCCCAGCAAATCTCTGTTTGGTTTCCAAATCTCTGTTGAGAAGACTAACTAAAAACTCAGTATATTGTTTTCAAGTGGTTTATGCATTTTACATGAGTTTTTAGAAGCCAAAAAAACAGTGCACTTTATTAATTTTTCCGGGGCACTGAAGAACATAAAACAGGGATCTCAACCACTGGCGTGTCAGATGTTGATGGCCTACAACTACCATAATTATTTGAATGCAGTAGATAGTCAGAGAATGTTGGGAGTCGAAGTTCTGAAAAATCTTTGAGGGTGGAGTTTGAGAAGTCTGACATAAAGGGTTTGTTAGTATTATAAAGGCCTGCTTGGTCTCTAATTAAATGTATTTGAGAAACTTTAGGGGACAACCTGAACTACTCCCTTATGTAAATCACAATCCCTCCCGCTGGACTTGAGGGTGCACGGGTGATGTTTAGTCCCGTGCATAATCTCTCACAACCTACATACGAGGTGATGAGAGGGTTGACCATGGACTATCTCTATTTCTGGTTCCCATTATATCCTGGGGAACCCAGTTCAACTACTTAAGAAGTCTAACTTATTAGATGGGCTTCCAGTACAATTTCACTTTTGTAGGTCCACTATTTGCATTCGTTTGGAAAGGAAAGGGCTCTCATAATTGGAAGAAGGGTCCCATAAACTGCCACATTGATTATTATTAGTCTAGTTCTGTGCAGGACCTAAATTACTACAAAATAACATGACATGTTCTGCCAGGTTTCCAGTTAAAAGAGTTGGTAAATAATCAAAAACTATTCATTATTTATAGCTTAGAGCTGTTGATATAAAACTGTATTTGGCTCCAAATAGTCTTTCCAAGATGGAACATAAAAAGGTTGATAATATTTTTTTGTTTAAAAAAAAATGGCTTTCTCTAAATGGGGTAAAATGCGAGTATATAAAAAGACAAACGTCTTGAAAAAAAATAAGATTGCATTTTTATGAAAAAGTGCTAAGTGACAAATCTGCATTAAAGCATGAAAAGAGAACAGCAGGTAACTGTTAAAAGGATGGGTAGGAGTTGACAGACAAGTTGTGGTCCATCGATCATTAACAAGTGACACAGCTTGCGATGAACGGAATTTGCAGTGAAGTCAGACAAAGACGGACCTTGCTCTTGCGCCACTCAGTGTAGAGTTAAATTAAACATTGGATGTTGTACAAAGCAGAACACAATTCTGTTATTAAAATAAAATCTTTAACATGAAGAGAAATGCAAATAGTATTTCCTTTTGATTTTATAATTAAAGTATATGTACATGGCAAAATGGTTACTTTGAGGTTGATACACATGAAAAGGTAGCCTGCTCAGGATGCAAAGTACCGAAACACTGCAGATTAGGGACTTTTGCCAATTGTAGAATTTTTAGCAGCTTTGTAGCCTTGAATATAGTGCTTATTGCCAAACCATTTATAGTGAGGAAAGAAATGGAAATATAGCTAAAAAATAGATATCTGCAGCAGGGAAATTTTTTGTAATTATTAAATAAAAAATACATCCATTATCAAACTTAAAGAACACAGCAAGTGCTGTTTGCATTTTTGCATTATTATATACGTTTACAGTGTTTTGTAATTTTCTTTTTTTATGTTACGGTTTTACAGCCTGCTGCGTTTATAGTCATATATTGCCACCAAGAGGCCAAAATTGGCAAAACACTATTTATGCATCTCTAACAGAGTGCTGCAGTGTTTAACCTTATTTCACCTGAGCTCTACATATTGTAATGGTACACAAGTTGCAACCATGTAAGGTGTTTTATATTCTTAAACTAGCACATGCACATCTACAGATTGTCATGCTATTTTTAAATAAAAAAGGTGACGATAACATAAACAAGCTATGAACAGTATGGTTTAAGCTAAAGTAGTATAGCTAGCTTGAGGTGACATGTCTGTTGCTTCTAGTGACAGGTATATAAAGATCTATAAGTCACAGGAGTAGAGGTTATTGCAGGCACAAAACAAGTAAAACAATAAAGACTTCGCTTGATAGGCTTTAACATGGCAAACTAATCTGCATTATACAGGAGGAGCGTAAGCATCGCTATGTAAAGCTGCCGAACTGTATAGCTGGGTAGGATTTCAGCAGGCACTAGGTATGTGTAGATAAAATTATGGCTGTCAAGAACATGCTTAGTTATTAGACTAGACATGATGCTTATAACTGAACAGACTGACCACACATGAGAAAGCATTCGCCAGTGCAAGAGTGAATTTCAGAGCAAACACTACTATGCATCATACACTACATTGCATTTGAGTTATATTCAGTGAGGGTTAATATGTACATGTTTGATGTCTAATGTTAGCACTGGATGCAGTATTGTTAGTGCCGCTGGGTACCTCAGGTGCAAAGAGGCATGCGCCCAGTTACCATAAGAGGCATTCACAGCGGACAGTGCGTGGTAGTGGCGGTGAGTAATACATCTCCCCGTGGCCATTTGCGTCTGTCAGCCTATACCCATCCTGGAGGTCAAGGGGGTCAGTTCGGCGTGGCAGTGTCCCGTCATGTAGTGGGACCGGTTTCAGCGGGTTACCTCTCTGCTGTGAGCGTGTAGCGTGCTCCACGAGAGCGGTCTTGTAATCTACGTTGACCCCTCCAAACATGTGGAAAGGGCGTAGGGGTAATCTCTCGTTGGGCCCCCAGTATAAGGAGGTTGCATCGGGTATTAGGCTTTTGAATTGTGAGCGGGCAAGTTGGGGGTAAGCCTTTTTCCCCTTGTTGGTCTTGCCTCAAATGCTGTTCTTTAAATGAGATTTATCCCTTGTAATTTCAAAGCATAATAGCAAAGGAAAGCATTACTTTTAAAGTAGCTTCCTCAATTTAATGTGAATCACCATTAGACGATCAATGTACCATAATAAAACAGAATTTTATAAAATACGATTGCATTCAAGATTGTCCCGTTAGCCATTTGTAACAATTTTATTGCGTTTTGTACATTTATTTTCATGTACTTATCCTCAAATTCTCGAATGCTTATAGTGAACTAGTAACTTTCTTTATGGCTGTCATATTTTGACGCTAAGACATCAGGGGGTGGCCTTTTCCTGGCCTCTTGTTCGTATTACAAACACGGCAACAGAACCATATAAAACCATCAAGACAGACAGCGGGATACTTTGTGTGTTTGCGTGGAGTGAATGGAAATAGGGAATTATGGATCCCTCCAGGTTCAGATTTCTCACTTGTCAGAGTAGGCACCTTTTTACCAGTAAGTTCTATTTACAGAATTTATAATATACCATTTTGGAGCTTAGTTTGGCTGGTGGGGAGAAATAAGCATAAGGAGCCTTGGACAGTGTCCTTTGTAGTCTAATAATTCATCTCCTATGTTTGATGGCAGGGCTTCAGTAACAGTTACAGAGGTGTAAAACTGAATGCCACCCCAGCTCCACCAGTGTCTATGTGAGGCTGAACATAAAGGGATCACTTACCAACTGCCCTCTAAACAGCCTTTCACACGGGAAGGGTCATGCTAGAGGAGCACGGACAACACTGAATTGTGCACACTATAATCGGAGGACAGCACTGAGTGATGCACACTGTAGAACAGCTAGTGTAGCTTAGCAATTATTCACAGGAGGCTGACTGGACTACATAGGGGTGTGAGCACTTTGCAAATAACTTGTTAAACTCCACATTGCCTAAACAGTTGTTTCCCTAACCCTAAATTTAACCCCTCCTTATCCATGTATCTCAATATTAAATTTAATTTACTCTGACCCTAAACTCAATCTAAAAAAACATGTACCAAAATATTAAATGTAATCCCACTATAACCCTAATAATCCTTAACCCTAAACACTCCTTATACATCATCTATAATCCCTCTCAAATTTGAATCCATCCTATGTAACTCTAAACCCTCATAATCTTAAATTATCCTTATAAAGACTGGCCTCAATTTAATATTTTTGGATACGCTTTTCAAATAATTTAATATTTTTGGACTAACTTTTAAAATGATTTTGTTTTTCAAAATATGAAAACATTAAAAAAAATCAATATATTCAAATATATAAAAATATTTAAATAATTTTAATAATTTTAAAGATTCATCAGAAAATATTAAATAATTTGAAAAGTTTTCCAAACAAGTTAAATAGGGTACATTGTCTTTAACCCTGCATGCATTGACACCGCTAAATACACATACTCTACTTGCAGCAGAAATATGCACATACATTCTTATATACATACGTAATTGTTAAATATGACTACATGTATTTCAGACACTTATATGTCTGAAAAGTCCAGTTAATACATTAATTAAACTCGCTGTTTTGGGGGTGGAGGGGGGACTTGCTTAAATTCTGGCCTACAGGCACCTGACTCATAAATATGGCCCTGGATCCCTTTACAACGGCACATTGTTGCTCCAGCAGTTGAACCTACAACCTGAATTTGTACTATGACTACATTGTAAATATTGGAGATGTGTATGTCAAAGTGCACAAGGCAGTTCTTTTAACATTTTCAAACTACTTCAAGATAATCTTCACTCGTCACTCCAGTAAATGCATTAAAATCCAGCCAACAGATATTCGGTTTGACAATGTTCAGCTAGCTTTTACATGTTATGTGCACAGGAAAAAGCCACGAATAAATAGTAGATTATTTCTGATTAGAAGAAGGCAAGATGTTTCTACATACAAAGCTTCCTGTTGTAAAAGAACCAACTTAAATTATATCATAAAAAACTATACATTCCTCCAATTTATATGGCATTCAGAGCTCTACAGTCCAAAAATTACCAAAGGAAACCGAAATTATTAAGTGCAGAGAAAAGACCATAGTCAACTGCCATTGGGTTAGAAGATGTCAGCCAAGGGCTAGAAGATGTCAGCCAAGAAAACATTGGAATATTCTTAAAGGTGATCCAGTACTAAACAAGTTTTTTAGTGATAGAGTCCAAAATTATTTTAACAAGGGCCTCCAATTTGAAAACCCATTTTGCCCCAACTGTTGGGAATAGTGTGATTAAAACGATGACTATCAAGGTTTTAACCATTTTTTTTTTTTAAATGTGGTAACTGGGAAGGCTGCAGAATGGATCCATGTAAGACGAGGAAACTTTCTGGTTTCATTTATAAGGTTAGGAAAAGGTATTTTAAAATCAGTTGTCATCTCAATTGCAATTCCACAGGGGAAATATACCTACTAGAATGTCCATGTGGTAAGCAATATATTGGAAGAACCCAAAGAACACTCAAGGTTAGGATTAGGGTCTTCAGTCACACAATGTTTCTAAACATTTTAGTTTGTTTCACATCCAAAATCCTTAATTGTTAAGATACGTGGCTATAGATAAAGTTCATATTCATTGGAGAGGTTGGCATCTGGATAGGGACCTGGATAAGACGGAAGTCACATGGGTTATCACCATGGACACATTAGAACCAAAGGGTCTAGATGTCAATTTAGAACTAAATGCTTTAACTGATTGATGTGCCCTTTTTTTAACCCCAATATTCATAAGCTTCCTATTTTATATATATATTTTTTTCTTTCCATTGAATAACCACAATATTTATATATTTCACATTTTATTTGTTTATTTCACGTGGTTCCTCATTAAGGCGTCCATATTATCCTTAGCATGTATTCATCAGAAATATTGATTACATGCATCGCCTTCTCCTCTATTTATTTATTAATTTTTCTTTTTTATTTGTGTATCATTTGTCATATTATTGTTTTTAGATGGTTTTATACATAGTATAGTTTATTTTTTATATGTAGATTCCCTTACATTTTTTATACTTAGTTGCCCTTGGATTTATATATCTTTAGTGACACTAATATACTCAAATTACTTCTTACTATTTTATTATGATATTTTCACAATCCCATTTTAGTGAATCACTTTTAATTTGCATTATTTTTCACAACAGTTGTTTTTTATGTCATTATAGACATCTTTTAGTGTCAGAACATTTTTTCACTGCTTCTTATCACTTTAAGATATTTCTATAATCCTATATTCATTTTAGTGTCACCACCTTTAAACTGCACTATGCTATACAGTCATTTGTTTTATTGAGTGGTTAACATTGTTTTTGTGTTAGCACAATCATTGTCTTTGTGTTAGCGCAATCATTGTCTTTGTGTTTGCACAATGTTTTAATTTTTGCCTGTTGCATTTGTTAGTTCAGTCATACATAATTTTATAGTTTTATCCATTGTATTTATTCACAATTAATCCATTTCAATAACTGTATCAGATAGTGTTTAATTACATTATCTTTAGTTTACCCAGTAAGGGAATTTCATTTTGCTAAATTCCGTGTGTATGATAAATGGTTCAATTCCTGCCAGTGGTTTTAACCCGGTTGGCTATATCCATTATCAACCAAAAACAAATAGTATATCCTTCACCCTAGATCAGGGGTAGGCAACCTTTTAGCAGCATTGTGCCGATATAGGATTGTGATGTCCCGTAGCGTGTCGGTCCTATTTTTTTTAAATTGAGGTGTGTATGCTGCCGTATTCTGCTTGTGTTATTTTTACTGTAATAGCTTTGTTTCGTTGTATTTGTGCGTATATGAGCTATTATATTGTATATGTTCATTAGTAGTTTGTGGTATCGTGTATGATACATATGAATGTGGGCTGTGTATGGGGGCTGCTTGTGGAATTGTGTGTGTGGATGGATATGTCACATTGTGTATTTGGTAGTGTGTGGGGGCTGTTTGGGGTATTGTGAGAGGCTGCATGTGGAGTTGTGTGCATGTATGTGGATTGTTACTGGTGATGCGTTTGTGCGGATTGTGTGTATGTTTGTGGGTGGGCTGTCCGTATTATTTGTATGAGGGAAGGGTTATTCTGCATTTCTGTGTATATCTAGCAGTGTGGGTGGCTTCCCTGGGTTTCAGTCGGGACCAGGCCAGCCAAGTACAGGTCAAGGACAGGAGCTGCAACAGCAACTGCGAGCTGCTCTACTACTGTGTGGATTCCCATTCACAAGTGCTGGGAGGAAGTGATCTGAGATCACTTCCTCTATGTGCTACAATGAGTAAATTGAGGATTGTCCTTCACCACCTCTTTGTATTAGCAGATATCTGAAGTTTGACTGGGGACTCCTGATAGGACAGAGCCTGTTTGGCTCTAGCAGCCTTGAGTGTTGTGCAAAGACACCTCGAGTGCCGTGCATGGCACTAGTGCCGTAGGTTGCCTACCCCTGCCCTAGATGCTTTGGATTTCTCAGGTTGTTTGCCGACTTAAATTTGCTTACATAACCTTTTACCTGATACCTGCGAATTTATCACTTTGGGAGGACAGCTGGATCACTCTTATACCATCTGCAGTAGGGTTTGGATCTGCCAAAAAGGATCCTGAGGAGATACACACCAGAGCCAGGTTCTGTATATGGCTCTTGTGAGTGTGTTTTATTGAGATCCACATATTTACATGTTGTATTAAGGATAATCTGCACTATTGTGTATCCCTCTGTTTCTGTTTCAGCATTTCTGGTTGTATTAAAGGACCACTATAGGCACCCAGACCACTTCAGTTTAATGAAGTGGTCTGGGTGCCTGGTCCATCTAGGTTTAACCCTTTTGCTGTAAACATAGCAGTTTCAGAGAAACTGCTATGTTTGCAATAGGGTTAATCCAGCCTCTAGTGGCTGTCTCATTGACAGCCACTAGAGGTGCTTCCGCGCTTCTCGCTGTGATTTTCACAGTGAGAAGACGCTGCCGTCCATAGGAAAGCATTGAGAATGCGCATTCAGCCGATGACGGAAGAAGAGGGAGGAGAGTCTCCAGCGCCGAGGGAGCCCGGCGCTGGAAAAGAGGTAAGCGATTAAACCCTTCCTCCCCTCTCAGCGCCACAGGAGTGGGACCCCTTAAGGGCACTATAGTGCCAGGAAAACTAGTTTGTTTTCCTGGCACTATAGTGGTCCTTTAAGAAGAGAGGGCAGTATTTCTATAGCTCCACCATATGTGTTTGTGTATTATTTATCCATTATCAGCTTGATATATGACTCCACTTCATCGAGCATGCGATATGCCTCTGTTGAAGTAGGGACTGCCTACGAAACTCATTAGGGGAATAGCTGCAGTATCTAAGGTGGAACGCAGAATGTTGCGTTGCTGGAACGCACACTTGAATTTGGTCGAGCAAATCCATCATTCATAGGTTCGATTTTTGGCATAGGGAATTTACGAAGGACCTGCCCATGCACAATTTTTGAAAATAGCTGCTGAAGGAGTTTTTTACTCTTAATGTGCCTGTTCACTTGTGGAATCTTGTAAGTGTCCTATTTTATGTGTAATAAAATATCTGTTTTTATGGAATGCAACATGTTCTGTTGTGCTCACTTTCAGATGTGATATTCCCTACTGCAATATCCAAGTGGAATCAATTTTATGGCCATTTTATTCATTTTTAAAGATCTGGTTTCTAGCCATCTGCTATTTTCTGTTTGCTTTTAGCTAATATTTGTTATGCATATGCAGTTGTCAAATATGAATATATGTATCTCAGACGTTAAATCCTTAGTTAATACATTAACTAAACTTGTTGTATCTGCTTTTTTGGGGGAAAGAGGGATAGAATTCTGTGCTCCAGCAGGTAAACCTACAACTTGAATTTGAACTATGAATACACTATAAAATATTGGAGATGTGTATGTCAAAGTGCACATGGCAGTTCTTTCAACATTTTCAAAATACTTGAAGATAATCTTCATTCGTCACTCCAGTAAATGCATTCAAATTCAGCCAATAGATATTCAGCTAGCGTTTACATGTTATGTACACAGGGAAAAAAAACTAAAACACATAGATTTCTGATTAGAATGAGGTCTGAAATTTCTACATAGAAAGCTTCCTGTTTTGAAAGAGCCAGTCCGATGATATAATCAGAAACTATACATTACTCATATTTGTATGACATTCAGAGCTCTACTGTCCAAAAATCCATCAAACACAAGCAAGTCCAGATCAACAGATAGACCATGGTCAACTGCAACTGCATCAGCAATTGGGCTGGGAAGTGTCAGCCAAGAATAGCAGCGCTCACATTTTTCTGGTGCTGTTAGTACTCCTGTAAAGTCAGTAGAAGACATTCAAAAGACTGAACTATGCATAAAGCAGGAGACATCTGACATCACTAAGCCAAATGCTAACAACTCTAGACAACAAAACTCATTTTCTAAATATAATAGGCAATGGAATGTATGCTTGCGATTACTGTGGTGAACATTTTGAACCTCATGATCACTTACACATCTACGTATCTCAGTCTTTCTCATTTGGAGTGCCTACTGTCAGCAATGACCTTTAGAGTTCGGTCCAATGTTGGACAACGTAGAGAACACAGAAAATTTACAGGCTTGGAAAACTAATTTCAAAACAGGAATAATAATTAATTGTAACAGACGCCGATTAATCTGCTTTCTTTTCTTTAAAAATAATTACATCCTATAGATTTAGACTGCCAGCTCTGATTTTTGAGATGTGTAAATTCAGCTGTTGAATGTGTGGGCAGTTTTATTTGTAGGTGTCAAAAGCTGGGACACCGATGAATACACAAGACAAAGCCAGAAAAACTCTACAAGTACCAAAATGCTGTTTAAGTGGTAGAACTGACATTACAGACCTATTGTGATATTGTGGCAGACCACAGTCAAAAGGTGTCGGGCCCATCTCAAGATCCCCCAAAGTTCTCTGGGGCAGCACATCCCACTGTACCACAATAAAATTATTTTCATTAGACTTTTATAAACATTTTCACGTTTTTTTCCATCTTGCGCTTCTTATTTTTACTCTACGTTGGTAGACATACGGGTATTCTCCATCTTGGGGCATCTGCCAAAATATTTTACAAATAACTGTCCAACCAAGATTTCGTTTCAGATTATGTAAGTAATTTTAATAATAACCAAGTTGAGAATTATATTTCTCAGATTCACTTTTATCAGATTTACATCTAACAATTAATCCTGTAAATCTTTTTATGAGACACAGGTTATCATAATTCCCTCACATGTATTGTCCTTTAAACATCTGCTCACTAGAAGGGAATGGGCCTTGACATAGCTAGGAGACAAGCATGTAAGTTGGGAAATTTTGATTTGTTATGGGATCCGTGGGGGCAGGACCTATATGATTATTTTTAAAAAGGTTTTTTAAATTAATCCTGACTTACCTGTTATTGTCTGCTGCATGCTTGTTTGGTGTCTTTTTCTTTGTTTTTCAGATGGATCCTGGAATGGAGACCTTAATGGAAGGAATCCTGTCAGCTGTATGTGAGATGGGGCTGTTCTGGCTTCAAGACTGTCTTGGAATGGCGGTTCCAGAACCTTGGCCTTCAGCTAGCGCGAGCACTGGCCCACGAGGCAAAAAGGCAGCTTCAGCGTTTGAGTGCTGGTTATCTCATTAGGGTAGATCATTACAGGTGGGCGAAGCACCCTGCACCCAGGATCGCAACACCAGACACCCTAGTGTCATATCCTTTAGTGAGGCTGACATGCATGCTGAGCGCAGATCTAGGAGCAGCCGTCGTTCTCATCAACAATCAACAGGCAGTCAGCGCAGAGGTGACAGAGGTTCCCCGTAGAGTGGCTAGTACTCTTTTGCTACTTTTCTTTTGGATAGAGGGTCTGATAGTGGGAGCTCCTCTGACAGGAGGGACACGATAGTGCTGGCAGATTATGAGGGCCGTAAGGGTCACAATGACAGAAATGGCAAGTGTGGCTCGAGTCGGGTAGCTCGGCTGGAGGCAGGTCAGGGGAATTGTAAACGGCCTACCCAGTCTCTCTTCTCCTTCCAGGGCATTGTAGCTTTCTCCCATTGCCTGGGCATGGGTCCAGGAAACGGGTCCCAGAACGTTTATGCTTACGTCTGGGTCCTTGGGTGACGATGACCGGATTTCAGCCCCACAAATGTTACCTGCTGGGGGTTTGGCTGGTGAGACATCTTCTGCTCATTATTCTGGGGATCTTTTACAGGGTCTCAAGGTTTTTTTGGAGTGCAGAGCAGGGTAAATCTGGGAGTTTTGGGCAATTGTGGGAGCCAGTTTCTGGGTGTTCAGGTGCCGGGGTAACAGAGTTATGACAATTGGTTGGGGCTAGTGCAGGTGTCACAGCGGAGGCATTGACATCTGAGGTTACCGATGTACGATATGAACACGTCAAATTGGATAGTATTCCGGATGCAGCCAGAATTGAAAGAAAGTATCTGGAAGGGTGAGTTTCTGGAATTAATTTTGCTTATCCCGTTGGAGGAGTACATCAACTTAAAAGAAGAGGATAAGAAAGACACAAAAAAGGAGGAGGAAGAGAAACGACAGAGGTATTGTAAGATACCGAACTCGTTCGATAACTGGTTGCGCAATCTGCATTTTGGCTAGTGTGCTGGGTGAGAGACATCCTGAGCAGTGTTCTCAACTTTTTTGCTATTTGGACGGGATATGGGAGGCATATTGTACATACAGGGGTTTGGCTTGGTGGCGCTACAATGAACAATTTTGGCAGCGTCTCTCTGCTAATTCAGGTATGCGGTGGGATCAAAAGGAACCTGCAACTATGGGTAAAGTTCATGATGGCCCAAAAAGCAGCCTCACCCTTTCAGTCTGTGGTTGGCCCAGGCCCTGCCTCCGCCTTGTGGCCATAAATAAAGATTTCTGCTGGCTTTTCAATGAAGGGTTGGTCCCCCCCTTATTGTCATTTAGGGCCCCCACCCGCCTCTCATGGGTGGGGGCTAAGGGGGGAGAATAGGTCCCCCCCTTTTGTTACTTAGGGCCCCAACCCGCCGCTCATGGGTGGGGGCCAGGGGGGACAATAGGTCCCCCCCATTGATACTTAGGGCCCCCACCCGCCGCTCATGGGTGGGAAACTGGGGGAACATTAGGCCCCCCATTATTTAATTAAGGTCCCCACCCGCCGGTCCTGGGTGGGGGCCTGGGGGAAACACTAGGTCCCCCTGTTTATATTAATATCCCCCACCCGCGGGTCACGGGTGAGGGGCACTATATCACCTCCATTTTTGTTATTTGGGTGCCCCACCATATGGGAACGACTGGGCAGCAATAGCCACTCACTAGTAGTTTTAAATGTCATGCCACGAGTAGGGGCATGCGGAAGGATTTAACCTCCCTTTTATTAATATGTGGGTCATAGTGACCCCCATAGGTTTCAATGCGGGGGGGGGAGGGGTAGGAATTAATATTATTTATTACAAGGAGGGAGCTGGTAGTGCTGCCGTCTCCCTCCTTGCTTTTTTTTTGCGCATGCGCAGTGGTATTATGAGTTAATTTGTACAAAACGAAAATTTCACTGGTGCACATGTCTATTCTTAACTCTTACTTTGAGGGTAAATACTTTGTAGATCTTTGTTTGCCCATGGGTTATTCCATCTCGTGCATTTATTTTGAAATCTTTAGTATGGTTTTTGAGGTGGGTGGTCAAGTTAGAACTGGTAGCAACTCCATGGTTCATTATTTGGATGATTTTCTGTGTGTCAGTCCTATTGGTTCAGATGTCAGTCGTGTAGGGTTGCGAACACTGGAATGGGTTGCCCATGTTTTTGGAGTCCGTCCCCATGTCACAGTTTGTTGGGTCTTGAAATCAATTCGGTATCAGGGGAATGTAGTTTACCAGCAGACAAGTTGATTGTGCTTCGAGAGGTCATTGGAGAAGTGTGTGAGGTGTGGAAAGTGACGCTGATTTAAATTTGCATGTGAAATTGTACCGGTGGGGATGGCTTTTAATAGGTTCCTTGCGAAGATGACTTGTGGGATCAGTTCTCTGCATCATTTTGTCAGAATTATGGCACCGTTGATGGCAGACTTGGAAGTTTGGGATATTTTTCTTTGGGATCTTAATGAATGTGTCTTCTTTCGGGAAACAGCGGTCTCCTCTCCCGAATTGGAATGGTTTACGGATGCTTCAGGGAGAGTAGGTTTTGAAGCTTATTTTTCTGGTCAATGGTGTGCTGAAACTTGGCTAGAGTGTTGGAAAGAGAATCCCATCATTCGCAACTTGGCGTTTTTGGAACTATTTCCTCGGTGGTTGCTTTAGCTTAATGGGGTGCCATGTTGATGGACACAAAAGTGATTTTCTTCACTGACAATATGTCAGAGATGGCGGCAGTTAATCATTTATCTGCCTCTTCTACTCCAGTGAGTCGCTTGTTGTGGCATTTTGTATTACTTTGCATGCAGTTTAATATTGTTTTTAAGGCGCATCATGTGCCTGATTTCTTGCATATCATTGCTGATGCCCTGTCTCGTTTACAGTGGGAGAGGTTTCGCATGGCGGTTCCTGGTGCATGGAAGAAGGGTCTGACCTGTCCAGACAATGTGTGGCAGCCTCTTGGATGACTGACTAGAGAGTCACTTGTGCCGAGTACTTGGGCAGTGTATGTTAAGGTGTGGAGAGCATGGGAAGAGGTGTGGATCTTTGCTGGGAGACATCACTCAGCTGAGGTCCGGTAGGTAGTTGTGGTATTTTTGTAGATTATTCTCTACTGGTGCTTCACCTTCTGATGTTGATAAGCATAAGGCAGCTTTAGCCTTTTTGTTTAAATTGAATGGGTGGGAATACGTCACAAAACATTTTTTGGTTCGACCGGTTTTAAAAGGTTTTCGTAAGGAAAAAAGAACACCAGACACCAAGAGGCCAGTGTCTTTTGAGATCTAGCAGAGTCTGATCGGAGCGCTAATGGGTTCTTTTGTTCCCACTTGCATTTGTTTGGGTAATCTTTGGTTCTTTTAGGGTGAGTGAGTTGGTTAGTGGTAGTCGATCGGGAGAAGGAGCTGTTAATTTAGATGATGTTGAGTTGGAGCATAATCGGGTTGCCATTCGTTTATGTTTTTGTGCTTCCACTTACTTAAAGGTTCGTCCCAGGATTCGGGATTCCTTCTTTCATGTTTTTTGCTTAGTTTTGGGTCATTTGGGACTGGATACATTACAGTTCTTCACGCATTTATTTAGGATCGGTGCTGCAATGGAAGAAGCGCGTTTGGGTTTTAGGGGACGATTTAGTTAAAAGGATTGGAAGGTGGGAGTCAGTTAGGGTCCGGTCATATGTTAAGTCGGATAGTTTGGTGCAAATTTGGGTTGGTGTGTGTTAAATTGTTTGTCTTTGGTAATAAGTTTTCTTTCTTTTGTAGGTCAATTGGGTACACAAGAGAGCTGCGGTTAGACATAAAGGAGGACAGCTGGGCTTTCCACGGTGCTTGGTCCAATTGTATTGGTTTGGTTATTGGGTTTCAGCTGGAGGAAGGTTTGTCTCAAGGTTTTTAGGCGGACAGGTTCTGGGCAGTCCTAGATTTTCTATTGATGCATGCCAGGGGTAATGATTTAGGACTGGTGCCCCAGACTTAGTTGCTGTAACGTATAAAGCAGGGCTAGGGTAGGTTGAGGGGTCCTTTTCCGGTAGTAACGATAATTTGGTTGGAGATGGTTCCCTGGTTACACAGGCATCATGCTTGGGATCCTGTGGCAGTGGCTAGGAGTAGGGGGAAGGTTAATAAGCTGTTATCCATTTTCATAAGACGACTCAGGGGAGTGAATGTTAATATGGAAGCCATGCTTCCTGGTTATTTGAGGCATGATGGGGTGCACTTCTACAACGTAGGTAACGATTTCCTTAACCTGATTTTCCAGGACAGTTTCCAGCGTGTATTGTTTTTGCAGGGGTGGGGCTCTCATATAGCCTGAGGATTTAAGCTCTGGGCTATGGCGGGAGATGGATAAAAATTGTGGGTAGGTTGGATTGGTAGCTGGGATCTTGAAAATTCAGTACCAATATTCACTTGGTTGAATTTGGTCTTTGGTAGGTTGGAGCTCAATGGTGACTTTCAACCTGGGAATGTGGTTGTATCTCAGTATACAACACCCATTACTCTATGCAATGTTTATGCTTTACATATTGCAAGAGTTGATTGTGTAACAGTTGTTTTTCTAGTTTAACATCTGCAAGGTCTACACTACTAATTTATTATTTTAGAAATTTATATATTGCCAACTTATTCCACGGTGCTTTACATTTTAAAGGGGGAAATTTAACGAAAAATTTGACTATTACAAATTGTTACAGGCACAAGAGGACCCTACCCCCAAAAAGTCTACAGTGTTATTTAAATAGGCTGAGATTAGTGAGTAATTTCTAGAGATGCTTTTGGAGCAGAAGAAGGCCAATGCTGATGTAGGCATATATTCATTGGCTGAGAATGTCAGTTGAGAACTTTCAGACAATGAATGATTGAACAAGTTCTTCCATTAAACATAACTTACATTCAGCTTCTCCAGCTCTAGAAAGATCGGAAGCTGAAAGGGCACAAAGGTAAGTGTCAATGATACTTGGAGTGCTCCTTTAAGTAATGTAACTAATGCAAGTTATGTCTGCAAGATTGTTGGTATTTATCCAGATCCAGAGCCCATTGTTCTGCCATTCATCCACGACCATCACCTCATGTTGCAGCATGATAATGCACAGCCCCATGTTGCAAAGATCTGTATACAATTCCTGGAAGCTGAAAACATCACAGTTCTTGCATGGCTAGCATACTCACCAGACATGTCACCCATTGAGCATGTTTGGGATGCGTATACCAGGTCCTGCAAATATCCTCCAACTTCGCACTGCCATTAAAGAGGAGTGGACCAACATTCTACAGGCCACAATCAACAACTTGTTTAACTCTATGCAAAGGAGATGTGTGGCACTGTGTGAGGCAAATGGCGGTCACACCAGATACTGACTGGTTTTCGGACCCCCTCGGATCCTCGGAGTAAAACTGCACATTTTAGAGTGGCCTTTTATTATGGCCAGCCTAAGGCACACCTGTGCAATAATCTGTAAAGGCACACCTGTGCAATAATCATGCTGTCTAATCAGCATCTTGATATGCAACACCTGTGAGTTGGATGGATTATCTCGGCAAAGGAGAAGTGCTCACTAACACAGATTTAGGCAGATTTGTGAATAATATTTGAGAGAAATAGGCCTTTTGTGTACATAGAAAAAGTCGTAGATCTTTGAGTTCAGCTCATGAAAAATGGGGACAAAAACAAAAGTGTTGTGTTTATGATTTTGTTCAGTTTTTATAAAGTAGGCTGATTGCAAAGGTAAGGCCTCATATTGGATATGCAGTACACTTTTGGGCACCAGCTTCTAAGAAAGGTATTGTGGAAATGGAAATTAAAGGAATGGAAAATTTCAGCTTTGAGGACATTCTTTCTAAATGAGGTTGTATGCTCTGGAGATAATGCCCATAGTAAGGGAGATTTGTTTATCATATACGAGTTTGTTCAAGGGCAATGCAGAATACGCTCTGCCAAGGGAAGTTTGTTTTGGCTGATTCAGTCAGTACTTTCTAAAAAGGTTGGATACAAAAAATGATTTAATTTCACTTTCAGTAATGTTGATCCAAGGAAAAAAAATTTATTGCATTAAGACAATTTTTTTTCCTTTATTTAACACAGAGACTAATTTTTAAAGAACGTCATTGCCGAAGGTGGTGGGTCTGCTAGTATCTTACCTAATTAAAGGGACACTACAGGCACCCAGACCAAATTATTTCATTGAAGTGATCTGGGTGCAGTATCCCTGTTCCTTTAACCCTGCAATGAAAAACATTGCAGTTTTTGAGAAACTGCAATGTTTACATAAAAGGTTAAGACTGCCTCTAGTGGCTGTCTGTCCAGCAAGTTTAAAAACCCCATAGGAAAGCACTGAGTTAATTCTTTCCTATGGGGAAGGTCTAATGTGTGTGCATTAGATCCCCCCCCCCCCCATCAATCGGCAGAGGAGGAGCTGGAAACAGGTATATTTTTAAAGGGTCTCTTAACTCTTTACATCACCGAAGGTGGGTGGCACGAGGGAATGTGGGAAGAGAGTTCCTATTGTGTTCCAAATATAGCTTTATATTCCTAACACTACAGTGTTCCTTTAACTTCACATAATACCTCTATTTGTGTCATAATATATGAATATTTTTTGCAATGGACATCTTACTTATATATGAGAGTAACATTTTTTTCATGAATATTTGTATGAGGTTTTATAGGGTTCCTACTTTCAGTACACACACAGGAGTAGGAACTTTCATCATATATACAATCCCTGTGTGATTTATTAAGGCCCGAATGCCGTTTTACTGCAAATGTATGCCAATATCAAGGAGTACAAGCCAAGTCATTAGCTGGAATAACAATATTTTTAGATAGTATAAAACTCTTAAAGTGACACTCTGCTTTGGGAATTATACAACTTTAATGAATTTTATAGGTTTTGGCCTCATTAATATGCTGTGTTTGTTTGCATGCTCAAATATTTATGTTTCTTGTAAAAATGAAAAGAAAGTCTTGCATTATTAGCATGTCTCCTTAGCCATACCCCCAATTGTAACATACATCCTTCCTTGACCACAGACAATGAACTGCAGACACACCAGCTTGGCATGAATAGGTTTCGCAGGTAGTCATTTACATGTCTGTCTATCCCTTCTTCTGTTTTCCTTCCTGTGCATATCTAAGAAATAATACTTAGAAGCCCAGTGTTGTATGTTTGCACCAGGCTATAATAGCACTATTTAGTAGACATGCGTATTTAGTAGCAAACTGGAATCTCACTTATAATCATACAACACTGATGGATAGAGTAAAAAGGGGCAAGGCAATGCTGCAAATCATGCCGCCGGTGACGGCCAAAAGGGCGGACCCATCCAGAAAGGGGGTGAATCTGCCCAAAGATTTGACAGTTTAGCCTGGTATGAATGCACTTGTCAAACAGCTTCTAAAACAGAACTTGCCTGAAGTCAGAGGAAAAAAGGGAGGGCGGGGTGGGGGGAGGTATTTAAACATGTTTTTTTTTTTTTGGTAAATTGCATTAAATGCATTCATTTTTAATGTTCATACATCATATGACATAATAGAATACCAAGTCTCAACATAGAGGATGCACAGGACTACAGTAGCTGTAAGTCATATGAGCCAGGGGTGTGACAAGCGCCCTCCACACAAGTACAAACACCTCTTAATGTGCAGCATTGAAACAAACTACACAAACAGACTCCTACAACTATGAACACTTCTAAGCAGACATGGTCATGGTGGTTGGAGTAAGCCTTTAATGATAATTGCAACGGAATGTAAGACACATGTCTGTATTTCAGCATAAGATTCACATACAGTGAATACAGTTAAAATTTAAACGTAGGTAGTTCACAATCTCTGTAATGTTAATGTAAAGCTCAGACCCACAAAAATCCTCTTCCTGACTGTAAGAGTGAAGGGGATAAATAAGTTCCCTAAACATTTAAATGACTTGCCAAGTTACACTGAGAATCCTAATCTCATGTCATGAAAGAGATTTTGCAGGACTATTATGTTTTTGTTGCCTTTCCCTTTCCCAGAAATAAATATATTTTTAGGAAAAAATGAAACTCACCAAAGTGAAAGAGAACTGCTACATGTGACTATGTATGAGTGATATTAATGGTGAATAATGCTGAATACCCATAACAGGAAGTTAAATGAAGAAGTATATATATACAGTATCTCACAAAAGTGAGTACACCCGTCACATTTTTGTAAATATTTTATATCTTTTCACGTGACAACTGAAGAAATGACACTCTGCTACAATACAGCCTGTATAACAGTGTAAATTTGCTGTCCCCTCAAAATAACTCAACGCACAGCCATTAATGTCTAAAACCTTGGCAACAAAAGTGAGTACACCCTTAAGTGGAAATGTCAAAATTGGGCCCAATGTGTCAATATTTTGTGTGGCCACCATTATTTTCCAGCACTGCCTTAACCCTCATGGGCATGGAGTTCACCAGAGTTTCACAGGTTGCCACTGGAGTCCTCTTCCACTCCTCCATGACGACAACACGGAGCTGGTGGAGTTACAGTCCATCACCTTTACCCTCAGCTTCTCTAGCAAGGCAGTGGTAATCTTGGAGGTGTGTTTGGGGTCATTATCATGTTGGAATACTGCCATGTGGCCTGGCTCTGAAGGGTGGGGATCATGCTCTGCTTCAGTATGTCACAGTACATGTTGGAATTCATGGTTCCCTCAATGAACTGTAGCTCCCCAGTGCCTGCAGCACTCATGCAGGCCCAGACCATGACACTCCCACCACCAACAAATTATTTTTAAAAAAGCTCTTCAGCAAAAATAAAAAAATATATACTTTTATTGGGTGAGATAAAGTACCACCAAAATTGTGCAAAAGTTTAAATGATTTAATAATGAAATGTACCCCTGCTCTTCTTAAATATTTCATAGTGGGAACAAAATCTATATTAAAAAGTTATGTTGAAGGATATATGAACAGTGAAATGAGGTGTAACCTCTCATTTTAGCACATGCATGAAAGTAGACTCTCAGAAAAGAAATATATTGTAAAAAGCAATGTAATCTTGTAAAAGAATGATACCGACATGCAGTATAACTCTTGCACTCTCCAAATACATAAAAACCTTTGGTCAAGCATCTTTTGACGACTGCAAGGTGCTCAATACCCTCTCTGTGGCGAGAGCGGTGTGCGCCTACATTCCAGGAGTTGCTCAGTGGGTAAGTGATATATGTACAATGGAATCACTTACAGTTTCTATACAAGATGGGGTTGAAAATCACATGCAGATTTGAGTCAGTGGTTTCAGTTTGTTTCTGGTCACTGAAACCAAGACAACAAACCCAGCTAGGGTCTATTCAGTAGACAATGACTTAACTTTTGTAAATTCAGATGATTTAATTCAACTCTATTCTCTTGCATTTTGTGGTTAAAATTCCTCTGTGGCTCACTGCTTTCACTAACCGTCAGATGTTAACCAAATTGAGATAGGATGGATCCCTGCTATTTTCAAATGGATCATTCTTGAATGTAATTTATTTCAAGTAATTCAATCAAAATCCAACCGAATTGCAACTGAACTCTGACCAAATTATCCTGTAAAAAAAAAAAAATAATAGACAAACGTTTGCCACGGACTCCTGGAAGACTGTGAAAGCTGGCCTCCTGCCCACTAACTATGGTCCAGGTCAGCGACCCTGTTCAGGGGTTACCCTACCCAGCCTCCATTAGCAGCTTTCCCTGGGTGCCCCTTGTTCGGCACTTTCCCTTCATTCGAATGGAACCGAATGCTAGCTCCCTGGCGGCCGTTCGCATGAACAAATCCATGAATGGTCCTCAGCTGTACTTAGCCGCGACTGCTATGGAACTAATTTCGGTTTGAGGACTTCGTGGTTCCCGGTCACCTCAGCAGTACTTAGTCTGGAATGTTATGGAACTGTTTTCGGCATGAGGTGACCTTGCGGTTCCTGGACAACTTGTTCCGGGGTTTTGAACCATTTAAAGGCTTTTTGGAAAGGTACCTGAGACTAAGAGAAACAAACGCTTCCTGAGAGCCAGGCGGAGCACCCTGTATTGTGGCCGCACGAGCTTCTGAAAGTTGACCGGCCAAAGCACCAAATTGGCTAATTAAAATCAGTTGTACTCCCAGAACTTTGTGTCGTCTGGTTACTAGGAGGGGAAAGGGCTAATCACTGCTCAGCACCTTGTTCCAGCTTGTGGAGGATTCAGCAGGGAAAGTTCATGTAAGGACTGTGTGTCGTCCAGTCGTGGGAGGGAATAGAGCTAGTCCCCTATCCTGTTACAGGACGTAGAGGCTCGAGGAGGACCCCAGTCAAGTCACGGAGACTGGGGCCCAAGCGTTGAGTTTTCCCCAGTTCCAGCTAGGAAGCAAGTCCTTGGCGGAGGTACCCAGCCAGGGTACAGAGAGCTCCACTACATACAATAAGACTAGATTTGGTGGGGAGTTATGCATGGGGTTTCCTTATAGAGTTAGGGAAGTTTGGAGTCGCATTAAAGTAAGTTAGGATTAGAAATGCAATTTAGTTGCAATTTGAATGTATGTGACTAGGTAGTGCAAATTTTTTAAACAACAGAACTTGCCTTTTGTGAGTAACCAAATGCTAAACAAGGCATCCGCAGGTTTACGTACTGGCTAGATCACCACACTTACCTTCTCTCGCACTAGCTGCCCACGATGTGAAGTAGTTAGTGCACAACAAGTGCCTTTTTAACTACACTCATGGTGAACTGACAATTAAATCCAGGGCATTAAAGCCCATACGTGAACACTACAGTAGCCCTTGGTGTACAGACAGCCAATCATCCTGGCATGCTAGCGCTCTGTTTTAATATGCCCCTATTTAAGGCGGACATGTTTTCTGTGATGCTAATTGTGCCATGGACAGGCCCATCACCGGCTTATCTCCTGCCCACTACCTTCCTCACCCGATATTAAGAGTTAACAGGTCTGCAACAGCCCCATACTCACTCTATGTAACCAAATCAGAACTGGTTGCAAAACAATATTTTTTAATTTACATTTACCTTCCTATCAAATTCACACCTTTTCTCACTCAACAAAGAACAATTTACTTAGCCAGTCATTCAGTCAGCCCTTGTGCCTTCCCGAAAGTGGCAGTAAGGTTTACTTTTTACAGCTACTGTACATATAGAAACCATTAACTCTAGAAAGATAAAGGCATATCTGAAGGTATACATTAGGGCATATTCCCATTGCATTGGTTGATGTAAATAATATCGCTAGTTAATCATGAGGAAACATCTAAATCAAATTTTTGTAAGACTCTGGAAACTTCACTATAATAGTCACATATTTCTTAAGAATCCAACGAGCAAGACCATTGTGGAAATTCATAGCTAGTACTCTAACATACTTCCTATGTTTAAAAATATGATATCCCTCCTACACAAACTGTCCGGAGTATTCTTAAAGACAAGATAGGCAGCTACCTATATGTAGATGTCTAACAGGGGTACTTACTCAAGCACTAAAAATGCTTGTTTCTTTTATACTGCCATGCAATCATTACGTACAGCAGTAGATTGGCATCCTTATTGATAAGAGGTGAAGATGGAAGAAGACCCTCAGGAATAATTAGGATCTTCATAATGTCATAATGTCTCCAAAACAGTGGGCAACCCTTGGTTCCAGGTACGGATATGTAAACCTGACCTTAAAGTCAAGGAATACAATATAATCACTAATGCATTTCTGCAGTAAAAACATATAGTAAGAAACATTTTGTTGAGTAGTTAATTAACTTATTTCATTTGTTGGCTATACATCCATATAATCTTTCCATGGATACAATAGCGTACCGTGTAGTGAAGAGGTTAAAATGGACCTGTCCACTAACAAACATTATGTTAATTCATAGACCATAACAATCAGCCTGTTCATAATAGACTTCATAATAGAACTGGAACTGATTATTCTCGACTACCAGTGACATGGCTAATGAATTGCTCGTATCTCTGGAGAGCTTCCTCTGTTCGTCTTTTTACGATGTACCTGTCCTGAAAAAATAACCGCCGTCTGTACAAAAAGAAACCTTTAATCTGTCAGCAAAGCCGTAGTTTTTGGAAAACATTATTGTCTTGAATAAGGACTTGAATTATTATTTAATTGTTCATTTTGGAGAGGTCTCGCTCGATAGGCTGATAATAAAACTGGTGATATTGCGGTGCTTTTGCGGGCTTTTCTACTGCATCACTGAACGAAGGTTACAAACAGCCAAGTGCCTTAAAAAATGCTAACAGGTGATAGGGGTGCAATATTATAATGACAGGGATTATTTGTCCTTTTGTTGGTATCACAGATTAACAAGGAATCAGTAGATAGTGTTGCCTGTACCCACTATCAAGCCAGGAGAGGTGTGACTAGGTCTGTACGGGCAAAAACAAGAAACATAGAATGTGACGACAGATAAGAACCATTTGGCCAATCTAGCCTGCCCAATTTTCTAAATACTTTTATTAGTCCCTGGCCTTATCTTATAGCTAGGATAGCCTTATGCCTATCCCACGCATGCTTAAACTCCTTCACGGTGTTAACCTCTACCACTTCAGCTGGAAGGCTATTCCATGCATTCACTACCTTCTTAGTAGAGTAACACATCCTGTAGCCCCATGTAGCCAAAGCACAGCTAAGCAAAAAAGGGCCTTGACAGGGGTTAGGAGGCGGGCATAGGAGGAGGGAAGGAAGTATGGAGTTATGGGTAAGTAGGCTGGGCTATTTAAATAGGCAGCCATTTTAAGTGAGCTCACTTCTAATTTCCTACCTGACCAAGTTTGTCCCGCCCACCCTCCCTATAGATATTGTTTATGGTTAGGGGATATCCCGTTTTTTCACAGCGGCGGGATAGGGAGCTGAAGGAGAAGGAATAGGCTCCCTAGGATGAACGTGACAGATATGGAAAACTGTGGTCATTGGTGGTTGGTAGGTTTCGAGTCCTGTCGGTGGCTCAGAACCTGGTGGGGTAGGGGTATCCGGGTATACCCCTGCCATGGTTAAATTTATGTTGGCACTTTAAGTTGGTATGTTGGAATAATGTTGGTATATGTTATATATATATGTTATTTATATGGGGGTCATTGCCTTTTATATTAACAGAAGGAATCGGATGCGAGGGCGGAGTATGGGGGGCAATGACCCATGTTTATTTGTTAAATTATTACTATTATTATGTTATGTTGAATATATGGTTATTATTATTCAGATTGTTTAATAAAGCTGTGGACAAATTTTCCCATATACCCGAGTGTCAGTGCATTATTGGGTTAGGTATGTGGGAGGGTTGTCCTGGAGTCCGACTGCCCATATGGCGACTATACACCGGTCATGATATTATTTTTAAAAATCACAATGGCAGAGAATTGAGCAGTGACACTGCAGGGGCATGATCTGTACACCAAAACTGCTTCATTAAGATGAAGTTGTTATGATCCCTATAGTGTCACTTTAATGTTTGTCTGCAAACATCGGAAACCACCCAACTAGTTTGACATTTGTGTTTCTTGACTGGATAATTACAGGGACTTTGGAGGAATAAAAATAGGGTATTTATCTACCAGCTTTGCACACTAACCAAAACTGCCATTTGTTAATTAAGGAAATAAAAAAGGGGAACAAAAGACATGAGAATTTCAAACTTACTCATACAAAGACATTCAATTATTAAAAACAATAGTTAAATATAAGAGCTGTAGAGAAATCAGTTTATTTAAATGTAAAACAATCAAAATTTCTATAACCATAAGTTTGTCCGTGCCTACTGACATGTAAGGTACTAAATGAAAAAAACAGCATAAGACCAAGCAGAATGACGTCTTAAAAAAATCCACACCGTACACAAATATTGCCACAAAAGGCTTGGGGTTGTGTGAACAGAGGAGTTGGGTACAATTTCCTTTAGGTTTAAAGATGTAGTGGCACCTGCTCTTTGTACCGAAAGTCAAGGAAGTTTTTGAGGGCTAAATAATTGGAAGGGCTTTGAATAGTGTTTTCCTTGAATAGGAAAGGTCTCCAGCATGGAGTGCATCTTCAAAAGTAGTGAGATTTGACTTGGCTAATCCAAGCTTATCTCTGCCATTCGTATTACACTATAGGAAGAGATTTTGCGATAAAGTGTAATAGGAAACACGTAGAAGCTTTAATTGTCCAGGAGTCAGCACTGCTAACTTAAAGGAATACAAATATGTATTCCTGATACTATAGCTCTAAGATCGCCCATTAAGGCGGCCAGGCCATTGCCCCCAGTGAAAAAAGTGGTTTAATCTTTTTTCCAGCACCATGCGGGTCTCCTCGCTGATGGCTACGCCTCCTTGGCTGAGATCATCAAATTTGATTATATCAGCCAATCCGATGCTTTATCATAGGAAAGCATTGGGAGGCTATTGCGCCTGCACAGCAAAACACTGCGCTGGCCAATCAGCTTTTTCTCATTGAATTAATGCATCTCAATGAGGAGTGTTCAGGGCTTTGATGCAGAGCGTGGAGACATTGATCGTCAGTGCTCCACATTGTGCAGCACTGACCCAGGAAGCAAATCTAGTGGCCTTATGAAAAACTTCCACTAGAGGTGTTCCTAGACAGTAATGTAAACACTGTCAAAACCTGCAGGAACAAGCTATATTAAGCTGTAGTTGTTTTGGTGACTATAGTGTCTCTTTAATGATACTTGTTCACTACTGGCATTGGTTGGATATTAAATTTTGTTTTTTAAACCGTACGGGGATAATAAAGCCATTAGATTTTAACCAAGGAATATCTGAAGTTTGTTTGTGTACACATGAACTACAACCAAAAGCCTCACCCATTGTACAGCGCTACGGAATCTGATGGCGCTATATAAATAATAAAATAATAATAGAGACTTTAGGTGAACTGTAGTTCACAGAGCTGAACCACAAACTCTGTTGGAGTAGGTGACTCGTCAGGTACCACGGAAAAAAATATACTCACATTTAAAAAAACAACTGGTAAAATGGTAAGACAACTACTAGGACAGCAAAGGCAATACACCAGATTTATTCCCTTTTTTTCGTAAGACCGGGAAACCCATTACCCATATACCTCTTGGACGGCAGAAGGTTGAATTAACATAGTTTTTATACCCAAAAAATCAGTTTACACATTTCACCAACTCAAAGACAAATTAGCTTCGATGTCCCTTTCTTCACATATTTACAGAAGCATAGCTTGATAGGCACTATATTACCACACCCTGGTTTGGAAGACTGTGACAATTCTATAGACCACCCACTCACACAACCAACTACTTCATCATATACAATAAACTAACAAAGAAAAAGTAATAGCTCACTGCAAAATAACATAATTTACAATAAACTCACTTTAACTTCAAATTCAAACAGCCCAGACCATACAGCCACATAATTAGGCTTGTCTTGGTGGATAACATATTTTCCAACATTAACTCACAAAAAAATCATAACTACAGTCAAACAACTTACATGTTTACCATCAGGCTCAGTGCAGGAAATGCATTCAAAGATCATGCACCACGTGTATTACTCTCTTCAAAAACTATTTCTGTTAAAACAATTAGATTTGACCATTGTTTAAAGTGTGGGACGAGCGTAGCGGACTTTTATAATTGCTTTTGGGGCGGTGTAGAAATTGAAACATTCTGGAGACAAGTCGCACAACATATCGAGAGTTACAGGTAAATGTTTTGAGATTTCCCCAGCTTCGGCGATGTTGTGGGGGATGTAAGATTCGAACCAGGATTCTAAACTAGCCCATATGATTTTGGCTGCGGCCAGTAAGAGCATACTACAATGCTGGATCGTCCCCTTTCCACCAACAATACTATTACTGAGAAACAAAAATATCTTTCCTATTCCACATGGACTTGTTGGGGGCTTTACTTAACAAAAGCACCCAAATGAAAAAAATCTTCATCACTTGGCAATAGTGATGTCCCGAACGGTTCGCCGAATGGTTCGCGAACGGTTCGCCATGGACTCATCATTGAGTAAACTTTGACCCTGTACCTCACAGTCAGCAGACACATTCCAGCCAATCAGCAGCAGACCCTCCCTCCTAGACCCTCCCACCTCCTGGACAGCTCACTAAGAATGCAGCTTCACAATGAATGTAAAATGGATGCTGTCCAGGAGGTGGGATATGGCAATATAACAGTTTTTACACTAGATGAACCAGGTTTGTTCCCCCAGCCCCACAATACACATCTAATATGCTATACGGAGGTATTAGACTTCACTAGCTAGCACAATTCGGTAAAAGAGAGAATTTAAATTTCTTATGTTTTATATTTCGTCAGATCATTTATCATGTTTATATTTTATTGTATCTGTTTTATTGCAAACATATGGAAAATGTCATACACAATATGCCAACTAATGAGCATTTTTCTATAGCTTTTATAATCGTTCAATGTGAAAATGTTCTTATACTCTTCATTGCTTTATGACAATAAAAGTGTTTCAAACTAAAAAAACAACTGATGGCTGTGGGCTACAAATAGGAATCGTTAGTTGTAGTACAAAAACGGTGAAGCCGACAGTAAAGGACAAATGGTAAAAAATAAATAAATAAATTTAAAATACATAGTAAGAATCATTATTCATTCTTTTGTCACAAACAAATTATGAAATTAAACTTTAATTTTCTGCAGCACTCCAGGTTTGGAGTTTTAAACATTGACTCTGCCAACCTCTAATTCAAATTAATTTTTCAAAAACTATATATGAGACAGGAGATAGGCAGTGTGGTGCTGCTTTGTATTAATAAAATATATGACATGCTACATTGAATAATGTTAGGTTTGAACCCCCTGGGAGCCCAAAAAAACAGATGCAAGGAAATGACCGACTTCATAAATGAGGAAGAAAGCAACTTCGAGAGAACTAAAGAATGCTATTTATATATAATGTGGTATCTTGATTAAACACTGAATTGACTTAAAGGGATCCCATAGTGCCAGGAAAACAAAGGTGTTTTCCTGGCACCATAGGGTTATTAGGTCCCCCCTCCCTCGGGGCCCCCTCCTGCGGCACAGAAGGGGTTGAAACTCCTTCAGCCACTAACCTGAATCCTGCGCTGATGTCCCTCGGCGCTGGGTTAGGCTCCATCCACGCTCCTCCCCCTCAGTCATCAGCCGGCGGGGGAGACCTAATGCGCATGCGCGGCCATGACTGCGCGTGCTTTAGACCTCCCCATAGGAAAGCATTATTCAATGCTTTCCTATGGGGAAAATCTAATGCTGGAAGTCCGTGAGGACGTCCAGCTTCAGATAATGGACCAAAAGTCCGTTAGGATTCCAGAAGTGCCCCCATTGGCTGTCTGGTAGACAGTCACTGGGGCAGACTTAGAGCTGCAATGTAAACAATGTAAACATTGCAGCACTAAGTGCGAAAGGGTCACAGCACCAAGACTACTTCAATTAGCTGAAGTGGTCTGGGTGCCTACAGTGTCCCTTTCTATCAAATAGAAAATGAAAACAGCCTAGTTGAATATAATATATATCCAGTTAGTAGTATTTACATTTCTACTATTTTTGCCCTAATTCAAATTGAGATGACACAAGCAGTACCAATCGCCATGATAAAACAGCAATGATGCAATAATACAATAATGTAAGATACAGCCACATAAGTATGTGAATGGTGAAGAGCAGTATTGTGATCCGAATTTCTAAAAACCAGTCTCTTAGGAATGTCTGATATTAAGTCCAAGCCTTTCCATGGTTCAAGTCCCCTCTCTCAGCCAAACTCTCCAGTTCCACAAAACGCATGTCTACAGAAACCCATATAGATAATATGCGATGGAATGAAGGTCCCCAATGGCACCCCTGAAAGTCCTACCCTGGGTCTAGCAGATTTACTACAACATTATTTCTTTCTAAGAGAGTACTTTCCAAGGTTTCATGCAGGTAAATGGATTATAAAATTGTGATTTACTCACAACTTCCACTTGTCAATGACATACGAGAACCTTACCAACACACACCCCCCAACATTCCAAATGGACAAAGAGGAACACTTTAATTTTAGTGGTGTGAGTGGAGTGTGACCAGGGACAGGGCTGTTCTGGGAAATTTTAGGTGACTAAAACTAAACCTATTTTGCCCCTAGTTCTGTGCCCTTTCATGGATCTTGCTATAGTTCATAGTTCACTTCTTTGTATTAACTGGTTTGTCTTGGATTTTGGCTACTTCTGTATCCCTGACCTGGTTTGTAGTATATTTTTATCGCTATCCTGGTTACTACCTCCAATTACCCATATATCTGTTATCCTTACCTGGCTCGTCTACTGACCACGCTTTTTCCCAATTGTACACATTAAGCCCGGCTACTCTAAAGTCCAGTGATATATCTATAATGTCTCTTCTGTGGCTTACCCAAGTTCTGCATATAAGGGTATATCCTCAGTGTCATTTACACAGCCTAATTTCTAAACACATTTATTAAGACACATTGTGCAGACTGGGACGATAAATCCACCAAAAATCTATATCTGAAATGGTTGAGGATTTAGGAGTGATATATAGGCAACCATGGAAGATTTTAGTTGTGAAGAATGGATGCAAAATCTACATTTGTTCATTTTAGAAAATTATAATTTTAGATGGAATATAATAACGCTGCAAAAATATACCCGGAACAAGTACAAACAGAGTTCTGTTAACCTGCTCATTATCTGTACTGTACAAAGAAAAATAAAAAATATATATATATTTTTTAGACAGAATATTTGGGGATATAAAAGTAACGTTATCCCTTTTGGGGCACAATTGGACATTTCTTCGAATTGCTTTTAAGACTTCATTTGGGTAAACCACCGAAACAAAGTGTGTGAAAGTTGAACTTGCTAGACTTGCTATTTTTCTACCTCTATTATTAAATGACTATGTATGGTCAAACATTGTTGTAAAAAGGGTTCTAAAAAAAGGACACTTTGTAAATACTGCTGATTTATATACCTCCAGTAATTTTACAGTGGAAAGGAGGACACATTAAATTCTGGTTTAAATCAACAAAGCTATTCTATACTATGTAGAAGATACAGTCATTCAAAGATTTACATTCCTAGCAATTTTGACAAAAGTAACAGAAATAGTTTTACAGGTCACATAATAGAGTGATCACACTATATTTACTGGCCAGGACCAACGATGCTTGAGGTGACAATTTGGTAAAAATTGCATTATAATAAAATGATGTAAATTTGACATCATTATTGGTGTACTGATTGGGTATCAGAAAAGATTGAGCAAATAAAGCTGGACTTGCACGGCATTTACAAGCACAGTTAATGTACACAGTCTTGTTAATTTGATTTAATCAAAAGGTCATTTCATCATTAAACCGGCTTTTGTCACCAAAGCCAACCTCATCCCTCACTTGCATTTGTTTTGATAATCCAACTATTTTAGCACACAGATGTCCTGGTCTGCCCTAGATTAGTAGAGTTACATTCCCAAGCAGCAGCTGATACCCAGGACTGTAACTCCCTCTAATCTCAGTCAGCACTAGGCCATACATGTTTTAAAGGTAAAGTTCTCCTCTTACATATATTATATTACATGACATTTGTACTAACACTAACCGTTAAAGGAACACTCAGTAGTGACTATGGTGCCAGCAGTGCCCAGTTCCATTCCACTGTAAGATGTCAATTAGTTTAAATCAGGGGTGCCCAAAAGGTAGATCCTCAGATGTTGGAGAACTACAACTCCCATGATGCTTTGCATGCCTTTAGAATGTTAAGAATGACACAGCATCATGGAAGCTGGAGTTTTAAAGCATCTGGGGATCTACCCTATGTGCACCCCTGGTTTAAATATAGTTTGAGAACCTACCTGGCTCCTGCATCTAGTTTTCTTCAGCAGGAGAATCAGAATTGCTCTATAGAGCAACGCAGGGCAATGCAGCATCAGTTAAAATGCTCTCAGCCAAAGAATGCGGTCCTGCGTCGGCCATGTTTTATTTTACAGAGACACCCGGCTATGCCCGCTGCAGAAGACCAGAGGTAGACAATGTGGTTATGGCCCCTGGTGGTATCTAGGCACGTAAACCTAATGACATCTCACTGTGGGATTCCGCCAGGGCAACCCTGGCACCATTACCACTACAACCGGCATTCTAAAGTATCCAGTACCCCTAAATGGCACTATTTACACTTAATATAGACAAACACACACACGCATATTGTAAGTATGTTATCTGTTAACACACTAACATAATTTCCCTCTGCAATGAATAAGTGAAAATAAAAGTATCCCACATTATGAGTAATAATGTAAATTACTAAAAAGAAAAAAATGACTTCATTAACAAGGTAAAAATATAATTGGCCATTGCTGACTGAATTCATACATATTTTACTACCTAATTAAAGAACCAAATGCACTACATATATATATATATATATATATAAAAAAAAGTTATGGAGAAAGCCCAGCCTGGGTTTTCTGCTTTTTGAATAGTGGCATTAGCTAACAGTGATGGACGCAGTGATGCAATAGAGACTGTTGGCTATTTAAGCAGTTTTTTTGGTGGGGGTGTGTCACAGTGACTCACATGGTGGTGTTGTTTTTATGAAAGTTAGTCACTTATCTGTAATTTTTAAAGGGTTACACCAAGCACCATGACCACTTCAGTGATTTGAAGGGGTCATCGTGCCTGGATTCTGTGTGTGCTACGTTTTGTTGGTTGTGAAACACTGCACATAGCGAGTTTAACCCCCGGAATCATCACGGGGCATCTGCCAGCCCGGAACAAGAGTTCCACACTTTCTCTTGTCAGTAGAGTTGAGCGGACACCTGGATGTCAATTTAGGTATTTCAGCATCTTAGTAGATAACTCCCTGATACCGTGGGAATTAGGGAGTTACCTACTAAGCGGCTGCAAGATGCAGCCACAGCACGAATAGGATCGGAGTTTCATTCGAATTAATTTGCGATCCGAACAAGTCCCGAATTGCATGCTAACATGAATGGAGAAACTGTTCTCATTCTGTTAGGATGCTATTCGGCATTTTTGTCGGCGTTCTGTCTAAATGACAGGACGTTCGGCAATACTGACAGGAAGCATCGTGGGAACAGGGAGGAAAGCTAAGGATCATGGGAAAATTGCTCTGACCAGCGGAAATGAAGCACACTTTGCTCCTCCGCTGGTCAAAGCTGGTCAAGCGGAGGAAACCTCCATTAGGCCAAGAGTCCCTAATTTGTCTGATGATTTTAAAGAAAACTAAAGAAGACAGGAAGACAAGAATAACAGATCCTGAGAGAGGGAGAGAAGAGGAAGAGATTGAGGAGAGGTAAGTTCGGCATGACAGTGCCGCTTTAAGAAAAGTATTAAGCTAACCAACGTGATATCTTTTAATTCACCAAGTAAAGTTAATTCACATACTGTAAAATAACAGGTTAGAACAAATAAAAGCGAAGCAATAAATGTAACCCTTACCTTGTAATTGCAGCCCAGAAGCACTAAGATCAAAAACTGCAGTAATTTCATAGCAACTCAGGTATCCAAAAACTGTCACTGTATGGAATATGTCATCAAAATGGTCCGAAGGTAACACTGAAGTCACAAGGATACCAGTCTTTCTAAGAAGAATTAGTGTCCAGATAAAAATAAAAATAAATATTTTAACAGAATACTTCGGATATTCGTGACCAGATTCTAAGAGTAGCAGCAGATGTTTTAAAAAGAAACCATACAAAAAGCAACTATTGTGTCCCAAACATTAGCAGAGAGAATACATACATATGATCAACACAACAGAGATCAGTCAGAGGGTTCAAAAGAGTAGCAGGAAGCAGACGAGAGATTTGGAAATACGAATATAGAAGCAACGACGAGCGATAGGTGACTAAAAGCTGCTGGAAACAGCAGAATGGTTTTTGCTTTTAACAAATGCTCCCAGCTCGTTGAGTAGACACGCCTATGGCAATCCCTGAGATTGTGTGCTAGTGAAAGTGAAACTAGGAACTTAAACAGAATCGTTTTGAAAGGGGGGCTTTTTTCAACACAGACAGATCTGGGAAACAAGAAAGCTGGTACTTTTTTATTAACTCTCTGTGCAGCTGGTTTAACTCTCTAACTGCCAGGAAAGAGCAATCTGTTTGGAAAATTAGAAGTTTAACAACTAATTGGTAACTAAATAATATAGCTACATCATTTAATTATGTGCCGTATCCAGGCAAAGCTACGCTCACATCTCTTGGACTTTGAGAAAGATAGTGACATCATTCTGCTTGAAAGCCCCTCAGTAGATAGTGGGAATATCTGGAATAGATCTTCCTTATGACATTTCCTCTAAAACCGGTGGATCGCCCAGTCCGTGCATTTACAGTTATCAAAACATCACGTGTAATTATTTGAGTTAATATTCCACAATCTCAGGGGAATACCGATGACATAGCGAAAGAACATTCAAAGTTGCATACTAATCTGTGATCTTTTTGAACAGGTTGTAGTGCAAAGAGTTCATCATTCCCTGGTGCCATGCACATAATTGCTCATAAAGATGCACGACGCATCGCCTCATTGAAAGATGCCGGTTAGATGTTCAATGGATGCAAGACTTGTGAATCTGCTATCATATAAGGGTCCTATGTTAAAATGTCACGTGACCTGTTAAAATGTTTAAAAAGTTAAAATGTTGTTATAAGTTTGATTGAAATAGCTTTTGATTTCAGTAAATATGCTGCAAACACAACAAATGACAATTTTCAGTTCTTTACAACCTATAAAGTGTTTTGAAACTTACTGTGCATAATAATTTGGAACAGTGCATTGTACGTTTTTTATGTTTAAAAAAAATACTGTTATCATTAGGAGGTTTGTTCAATAAAATTTGAAATGTACTCTTAATAGTTGATAACATGAGAATTATGCTGACTGTTATTTACATCTATTCTTTAGGTAAATGAGAAAAATATCATTTGCATAATAATTTGGAACAGGGTGTATATACCTAGTACTTCAGCTTGGGTACATTATATCAACTAGAGGGCTCCAAATGGATTCTAAAATGTTAATAGCAATTCTCGATTAGCCTCAGCCTACAGATTGTAAGACCATTCTGGACACCTCTATTAACACAGTGGGCTATTTTAAGTGGTTCTGCTTATGTTTCTGACAAAGAAGGGTGCTCAAAACCAAATGATGGCGTTCTATTGGAAAAACTCTGTTTCTGTATTGGCGTATTGTGATACTTAAAGGGACTCTCCAGTGCCAGGAAAACAAACCGTTTTCCTGGCACTGCAGGTCACCTCTCCCTCCCACTCTCCATCCCATGTTGCTGAAGGGGTTAAAACCCCTTCAGTGACTTATCTGTAATCAGCACTGATGTCCCTCGGCACTGGGTCATGCTCCGCCTATGCTCCTCCCCCGCCGACGTCAGCTGGCGGGGGAGACCTATTGAGCGTGCGCGGCCGGTGGCGGGGGAAACCTCATGCGCATGTGCAGCAATGCCGTGCACGCACATTAGACCTCCCCATAGGAAAGCATTGAATAATGCTTTCAATGCTTTCCTATGGGGATTTCGGCGACGCTGGAGGTTCTCACATAGCGTGAGGACGTCCAGCGACGTTATAGCACACTTTTCGTGTTCTATGAACACAGAAGTGTCCTTTAGTTACTGTCTAGTAGACTGCCACTAGTGGAGGACTTAACCCGTCAAGGTAAATATTGCAGTTTATGAAAACTGCAATAATTACACTTGCAGGGTTAAGGGTATTGGGAGTTGGCACCCAGACCACTCCAATGGGCAGAAGTGGTCTGGGTCCCTGGAGTGTCCCTCTAAATCAGAGGCATACCTAGGTTACAGGGTGGAAACGTATTCCCCCTCCCCCCTCATTTTGCTAGAAAAATGACATGTATATACTGACTTTGACACACACATTCATATTCACATTTAATTCCATTTATATACAAATGCGCTAACACGTTTACGTCAGATCGGGTATAAAATAAGCGTGTTTTAATTTTGTAATCAGTGCCTTTAAAGAGACATTATAGTTCCGAACTTGCAACACAGGTTGCCTCCGACCACTCGTAAATTAAATTCCACAATTTCTGCCTGACATCTCAGCATAAATACACTTACCAACATTACAAACCAAACAGATCCAATAACGACTACACAGAACATCTATAGAGAGATTGGTGAGATCTATCCAAATTATTAACAGAAAAGCTGTCTCCTCAATATATTAATGTATGGACCTATTTTTTTTTTTTCATGGTTTCCAATTTTCTCTCTTTTCATTTTTCAGATTTTTCCTTTTTTTATATTGGGAATACTCTTTTCTTTTGCATAATATTATTAGGATAATGTTGAACATATAAACCCTTTACAGAACTATTGACACTCATGCATTTTTTTAACTAAACGGCTATGTGCTAATATGTATTTTTGGTGAATCTACGTGGCTTTGTAAAGGACATTTTTGCAACTATTCAAGTTGGATTCACATGTGCATACAATCATATGATATTGTATTCTCTTAATATGTGTTTATTAAGGAATTTATAATAACACTTTGAGTCTTGTTTATACACTATTACTTTCTTTTTTTACAATTTTGCTTTTTGGTGATAAATATTTACACTTCTTTGAAACAGACAGGGAAGTACGAGAGTCCCAATCATATTTTCCCTTTTTTAGGATTAAAATAACTTTGCTATAAAACGCTGACAATTTAGAGTTTATACTTTATAGAATCTTCTAATATACTTTTTGCATTATATTTTGAATGTTGTATTAATTTTTTTATTTTTGAATAATGTGGAGGTTATTGGTTCATTACTTTGTGAAAGTACCGCAATATTAGTGGGTCCTATGCTAATTTAACATGGAATATAAACAAGGGAGTGCCCCAATAAACCCCAGCTTCCTTTTAAAACTTAAATCTAAAATGCTTTGTTGTTTTTAATTGGATATATTACTGAACAATGTTAACAAATATTGTTTTTCTTACCCGATGACACGTGATAAAAGGGACGTTCTTATTCACTTAACCACTACAGCCTATTGAAGTGGTTAAAGTGAAGTCTTTAGGTGCTGTCCCTCTGGTTTTTTATCAAACTGTTTTTGAGTGGTTTGACAAAAATCAGGCCCTCTAAGCACAAAGTCTGGCTCCTCTGTTGATACCCAAATAATGAGTGATTTAATTTGTCTACATTATTTTCTACAAATCTATACAAATTTGAAGGCCAATTAAAGGTTGTACTAAGCTGAGCCCTTGCTCAGTCTTTCATTGTCATCCAAAACTGTAAGGAATGTATCGAAAGACTCTTTGCACCATACAATCTGCAATAAGCTGGTATACAAAGAGTTTTCAAAACTTCTCTACTAGACTGGCCTTAAATGTTCCTCAACACGGCAAGCTTGAATAGGGTCCATGACATTTTCACTAAGAGTGAATTTCTATAAATATTTATTAAATATTTTACATATAATCAAAAACATACAATCACAAAAGATCATAAAACAGTAGATTAATGATCTCTCAGTGCCCATTTATCCCATTCCCTATTGTAAAAACCACAAATTAATCAGGCTATTTAGATCCAGTTCCTCAGAGATCCCAGCATACTGCATTACATACAAACAAAAACACGGGCAAAAACATGATGGTCTAAAGCATTTAAATACGGTTGAGAAGTCTAAATGGGATTCCCATTTGAAATTTACCTGTTTAATACCTTATTCACATTATAGACCCCCAGAGTATTCTCGTGGGAGGAAAATGGCAGAGCGTCGGGAGGAGAAGGTAAAGTAATATCTTCCTATTCAGGGAGTTCTCATCCAATTTTATTTATATATATGTACAAACTAATACTCTTGGATAAAGTTATTCCAACCATATTTAGTTATAGGCAAGGGCTCTCTCTCCATTTTCAGTTGGAAAGAGATTTGCGTTTTAAGTGTTACCAATGTTGGGGATTCCTTTTGCTTCCAGGAATTTACAATATACAATACCATATATCTATTTTTTTTTCGATAGTTCAGGCCAATCAAGATGTAATAAAGCAGATTGAGGAGAAACTGTCATATGAATACCTGTCAACATTCTTAATGTGTTATATGTTAATTCCCAAAAAGGTTTTCATTTTTGACCGTTCCACCAAATATGAACATAAGAGCCTTCCTGTTGGCAACAACGCCAGCACAGGGAGGAACACGTGGGGATCATCTTATTGATTTTCTTAAGAACCAGATGATAGTTTGTTAGAATCTTATATTGTAATTCTATAAGATTAAAGCAATGTACAGATTTCTTGACTATGGGCATAATCTTATATCAATTCGATAATTGGATGTCAATTTCTAGGTCTATTTTCCAATTATTTAAAATACCAATAACTGGGTCTATTATAGATGAACTTTCATTATCAAAGATAGAGCTACTCATCAAGAATCTGATATTATTTCCATATTTTAATAAGGACTCTAAACCCAAGATTTAATTATCTTTTTTACATATAAAGTTCTTCAATAGCTTTTAACTCTAAGGTATGAAAAAACTTCTTTTGAAGGTAGGTGAAATTCTAAAGCTAGTTCTTGAAAAGGTTTGATATGGGCACCCTCAAGAATATCTGTTATTACCTCTATACTATTCATTTTCCATGTGGATAAATTAATATTTTCCATATTATATTTCAAAAGACTCACACTACTTTTGGCTCTGATACTATTATCCCATGTTAAATTGTATTCTTTCTTAAATCTAGTACAAAATTTTAAGATTTGAAAAGTAAAAAAATGTTTCCCAGGTTTATTATCTAAAGTCTTAACAATACCCAGTTTTTTCGAGTCAGTTTTTTCGAGTCAATCCATAATAAGAGGGAGAGGTCAGAGATCCCCAACATGAATTTTTCAAGATCGTACCAAGCATCTTTAGGTTCTATGTTGAAGCACTTATAGATATGTTTAAGGATGTGATATTTTTTAATGTTAGGGATAACTAAACCTCCTTTATCTATTCTTTTCTCTAATATCTTTCTTTTTATTCTTGATTTTTTACCCTTTGATATATAGTCCAAGAATAATCTTTGGATCTTAAGTAAATTTGTTCTGGACAGACATATGGGGGTCACCCCAAACAAATAATTCCATATTGGGAGCACATAGGATTTTATATCATTGAAAATTCGTCCCAGCCATGAGAGTTCTAGGGATTTCCACTCATTAAGCAGTCTGGTTGTCTGATTTAACAATACCTCCCAGTTAATCTTACTTAAATTCTTTACTTGGGAGGTAAGGACTATACCCAGATATTCAGTACTCTCAGTTTCCCATTTAAAAGTATATTCTCTCTGTAATAAATCCTTAGTAGCCTTATTTAGATTCCAGCTCATAATAGTTGATTTAGATGTATTAAGCTTATAGTTCGACATGTTTCCATAGATTTCCAATTCTCTAAGAAGGGAGCTTATGGAGTTTACAGGATCTGTTAATATCAATATAACAAGATTCGCATATAAGCTTAATTTTATCTCTCTGTGATCAAACTGTATTCCCTTAATGTTTCCATTCAATCTAATATTTTGGGAGAAGGTGAGAATATATAACACTAGGGAGAGAGGGCAGCCCTG